GAATCACGCAGATTCACACAGCTTGAAGAAGCAATGGGTATAGGTCACTTTGGCTTACTGAAAGCATGATCCAAGCTTGCATTAAGCCGCTTTGCCCATCTGTGAATTCATGGTGCTGTTGTTCCATACCAATTGTGGACATAGCTACTGGACATTGTTGGCAACAAATCATCCGTCGCCTTTGGCTTCCTTCAGTCAACCTGATCTCCTCTCGGTGGCCTCCGCTTCTACTGGGCGCAGGTTGGCAAAGAAGGCGCCTCAGATTGCAGTTTCCAAATTCCGACTGAAATCTGCGGTTAATAATTGTGCGTTTCATGTTGGTCTCCCTTTCGACACCAACTAAAAAGGGGTTCCATCATCTTCAAGTCCATTGACTTAGAAGTTGTGGGCTGCGGGTTTTCGGCTCCAGTGCCTTTCATGCCGTGTCTTCGTGCATGTTTGCGACGTTGCACATGTTCATTTGTCAAAGACCGAGCCAACCTCAGGGAGCTGCCTTCCTATTCCCAATACAGCAGCTTATCACCACTAGGAACGTAGCAGCCACCTCCTACTTCTGCAAGGCTCAACCATTTGACTACTCATACGGGGTTATGTTTTCGAGGGAAGTGTTTGTGGGGGTGGTTTTAAAGGGAAACCTTCAAAGGGCGACCACCCATTTTCAGCACACTGTCGCCCTGTGGCGGCGGCCCCTTGGGCTTCCCAGCTGCCTGGCACCAGTGGACATCAAAATTCGGTGGGGATTGATGTCTACGGCGTCTACGTCTACGGCGTTTCATGCGCTTGCTTGAAAGCATCGATTCGTGGATGCAGCAATGTGAAGGTGTCCAACGGCTTTGATGCAGCAGGGTGACCAAGTCGAATCAAGAGGTCATTCTGGTAGAAATGTCAAACCGCACATGGCATGCTTGTAGCATGCGATACAGTACCCGTTCCAACTCATGGCCATGCCAACAACTGCAGAGGGTCCATTTGACCTTGAACTAAGACGTGGCAGCTCGGGCTACTCACTAAGGTCACCCTTATCCTTCCATCTATGTTTCTGAAAACATCCTTCTGGAAGGCAAGGTTTCGCCCAGTCCTCCCAGGCTTCTACCAGCCGCGACGCCCCCTTGATGCCGTAGGGATTTTCCAGCAGGCGCAGCCTGTGGCTCAAAAGTGATGCCTTGTTTCAAGGGGTGCCAAAAAGGACGGAGGTGAAAAAGGTACCAAACATGATAGCTGGTGTTCCTACCCGTTGCAACGCAACGCCCACAACCACAGCTCAGCTATGAGGGCTCGGCCAGTCTAGGTGGCCACACTGAGGCACGGCCTGGCTTGCGAGTCTGCAGCAAAGTCTTGACTGCGAGCGAGGCCTGCTTTCCACAAAAGCCTTCCAACGAGTGCTGGGAGACAACAGATTGACTTCAGTATGAACAAACCTCAACAGGGTCAGACATATTCCCTTTTGTGGCTGAAATTATTGGAACGCGTATTCCCTGGTGTGTCAAAACACTTATTCTCAGACCTCAACTAGGGTCGAACAGCTCAACCCACGTGGCGCGGCCTCTGCCAGTCTCTTGACGCCATGGTCGGCAATGCAGTTGCGATAAAGATCCAACCTCGCAGCAAAGCAACGCACAAAGTCACCGGAAAGGAGTCACAAGCCCCGGGCTCTGCAAGCTGACCGCAGTGAGGCATGACCTCATTCATGTGCGGTTCGCAGCTGTTTGCGAGAAGAGAGCTTCCGCAATGGATCTGGGAAGACTCGCGTCCTCCTGGTTTGTTTGAGGAATTCAGCGAGCTCCGAAATGGACCAAACACACGACAGCTAATGTTCGCCGAACCTCGTGTCATGCTTTCAATACGGTTGCATGACAGTGAAGGTTGGCTATGCGATTCAGGAGGAGCGATGTGTACGGGTACCGGCATCCAGAACGGGAAGGGAATCAACAACAATGAAGAATGAACCGAAAAGATGTCCATTCAAACGACACGTGTATCAACACAGATTGGATCATGGCAAGCCCATTTCCCTTCCCCAAGGGTTAAAAACACGATCTGGTTTTTGACCTCTTGCTGTTGACGCGATTCTCTCATGTGGCAGCTAGGCAGCCAACAGCGGCCAGCTGAGCGGTCCCACCATCCCCGATCTGGTTCTCACCTCACCGCTGTGACCCCGCCGATATACATATATATATACATACATATATGTATACATATAACATATTATGCATAATTTATAATGTAATATAACATAGTATAGTATGTAATATAATGTCTCATTCACAAGTCCAACTATGTGTATACGCACTAGCATAGATGGGCAAGATTCATTTTCAGCGTCTTGATCCGCAAGCCGCACACGCTGTGCGCGCACACACACACACACATCTCCCCGTCTGTCTTTCTTTCTTTCTTTCTTTCTTTCCTTCCTTCCTTCCTTCCTTCCTTCCTTCCTTCCTTCCTTCCTTCCTTCCTTCCTTCCTTCTATCTCGAGATCTCTCCATCTGTATATGTACATGTCGATACTCAAAGAAATGTACATTTCATAATTGCAAGCCGATGAAGAACACACAATACATATATAATACAGAGTTTCATTGGGCAACTTCATAGGCTGGGTCATGTAGGGGATGTTGAGGGAGGGGGTCCAAAGATGCACATTGCATGAAATAGGGTTGTGTCCGATTATGCAATGCAGGCGCCTCTTGATGCACGTGCCGAACAATCCTGCATGAACTTGAAAAGCGATCTCAACGGTCCACTCATACATTCCGAAGCTTCAGCGAGCAACTTGTCAAGAGCTGAGCGCTGAATAAAGAAATCCACAGGCCCAAACACCAAACCGGATCGACTAAGCCGTTAGCTCAGGTCCAGCTTGCAGAGTCGTTCACAGCGGAGCAGCGCGGACGCCAGCAAGCCAGCGCCGCCGTCACCTACGGTGCCAGCATGCCAAGAGCGACAAAGAGATACTATATATATATATGTGATTCATGGCACCCCCTCCCTGTGTGGCAAGGAAACTCAGGAACACCAAACATCAAAGGGACACTCATGTTCAGACGTAACAGCATCCGAACACCGTGAAGCTGGTCAACAAGTGGGTGTGTGGACCCGTTGCGCCCACATCGCGGGCCTTTTTTCTGCTCCACGTTCGGGCCATGTTGCGTCAGAGCCTCAGCTGAGGCCAGTGCCAATGCGCTCTCCGCCGAGGATCTCCCCGACATCATGGCCGCCCAGTCCAAAGGCCTGACGCAAATTCCGTGCCTCGACATAAAGCTTGCATCTAGGTGAATGGAGGCTTGCTGAGCCGCGTTGGTGAATTCACCCCTTTCGGGGGGCAACTCTCATCGTTGAAAACAACAGTGGTCCGGACATTTGTTTGCGACTTAGACAGCCAGTGACCGCTTTAAAGGATGGCGTTTGGCACAAAGAGAAAGTATGCGGTCTATCCCCCCTCACATTCCTGACCCCTGGCTTCAGCACGGCTGTTGCAGTCACATTATTCCCTATGCGCCGTTTCCCTCCATTCTATTTACTACATGTTTCATCGCAGTGTTTTTCTCCATTAATATGGTTGGTCTTCTCTGTCGCGATTACACAAAGCGAAGACAAACCAATGCTTGACTCACTTGTCGGGCTTGTCCCGCTTGTGGATTTGTTTTGGTGAGTGACTCCACCTTCACTTTGCACTGCGGTCAAACAAGCCAATATGTTTCATTATTCTTCCATGACGGATCCATGCAGGTTACATTGCGGCCCTGATCTGGACGGGGAGCAAATGGCGCCACTGTGCCAGTGCCAACATGAATTACTTACTCGGCGTTGAGCGGGGCTAGGAGGGCGATGCAGTACAGTTATGATGCCGCGCTAGCCCATGCTGGCTGGGTGAGGGCTGGGGCGAGGGGGTGGGGTGGGGAGGAGCGCGCAGTTTGCGGGCGGTATGCGTGCGCCGCTTTCCGGGAGGTGTCTTTCTCGTCTTGCATGGCTTCCGCAAAAGCGAGCCCTTGCTGCGGTTGTTGCTGAGCCGGGTCAGCGCGAGCAGCCACACTGACTTCACTCCACATCGCAACTCAGGCTGTTTTCGCATCGGTCGGCGCCAAGTGAAGCAACAGCGCGCTGAATGGTTGTCATGGCCTGTGTGATCCAGTGCATAGAGTCATACAACAGCGGTCCGACTCTCTTTGCATAAGCAAAACAGGCATGCGTCAAGAAGCTGCCGGTGAACAAATTGTCTCCCTGCGGTCGCGAGACATGGGGACCTGCGCACACAACGCAAGTAGATCCTTCCCACCAGCCCACCAGACTCATTTCCGACGCAACAAGTGAACCCCCAAGAACACCGCTGCTTCTCCATTGCCAACAACTCCAGTCACAAGTGAGGAACAACATGTCGCGAGCGAGGTACCAGTGTAATGTTGACCCAGGATTAATAAACCTGTCGCTTTATTGGGGGGGTGTTCCCTCCAAAAGTGATGAATCCGACTAAAAGGGGACATCCCCCCATTAATCAACCAGGGGTTTATTAATCCGGGGTTAACATTACCAGCCTTTCAACCACTGACCCTGGCCTCGAGCTGGCACTTGGGCAAAGCCGCTGCCAGCGCCACTGCTCCGCGGTCCCCCACGTAGTTTCGAGCCAGGTCGAACCTGGCCAAAGCCGAAGCGAGTGATTCGCACAAAGCTTCACCTGAAGGCCAGCGGTAGATCAACTGTCCATCGACAAGGCACGGAAGGTTCCAACAGCAACTGAGCCTAAGCCAAACAAACCAAGAAGTGTACTAGCGAGCCATTGATTTTCAACCTGTTCATCACGAAGTAATATGCGTGCAAGTCGCTCGTTTTTTCTACAGGCACCTGGCCCCTTGCCACAGAAACCCCCAATCCTGTTTTTACCATGTAAGTAGGGGTCACGTCCAAAGGACTGAGGGTTCATTGACAAGCGGCAAATTGGACATTTCCTGGTCACTCGTCAACTGCCTCTACTTCTGTGTTAAAGCAACTATATATTCGGGCAGTGTCGCAAAGAGTACATAGCGATGACATGCACTTTGATGTTCGCAGAACACGAGAATTCTAGGTGGCCGCTTCAAGTAGCTTGGTCTTTGAGCAAAGCTCGTGCCCAAATGCTTTGCAGCCTACCTGGCTCCTTCCATATTCTGCGGCCCCAGCTGTCGGTCAAAACCCATGTTTGACCCCCAAATCTTCAAGCCGTCCTGAGAGGGGAATCGGGTCAAGCGTCAAAATACTCGCGTGAGTCAACCAGGCATGCCAACTCTTGGGATAACTGGTTGCAACCCAGAAACCCTATGCTAACGAGGTCAATCAGAGAAGACTCCAGCCCTGGCCTCTGCAATTTGCCGCAGTTCGGCAAAGCAGCAGCAAAGCGTTCAGCACCGACATCGCTGACCTTGCTCATTATCGGGGCGAACAGAAGCCTCCGTCTACGAACACTCAGACTCAAAACTTGTGATGACGTGTGATGATACAAGGCCTGCTTTTGATTCTTCTAAAGCGGCATTTGGCCATGGGTCAAAATCCCGTACACCCAGTGAACATCCAAATCCCCACTAAGATAGGTTCTTAAATGGTGGTGAATTCACCTACCCCAAAATGGGTTTTGACCTACGGCCATTTGACTCGCAACAGTCAGTGTGCTCGCATGAACACTACACCAGGGATCCTTACATTATACACCTGAACATTGCCTTGTAAATTTGTAAATGGTGGTGTCCCAATTTATTTTGGTACGGAAAAAGCAACATGTGTCCAATGGTTTAAGGAGCCCGAACACGATCGCCTCATTTTCGCTGAGGTCCAGGATCTGCAGATTGCAGCGCGGCATGGCCCTTGCCTCGGGGGCCGGGTTGCCCGTGGAAACATGGACCAACACCGGCGGTCCGAGTTGTTTGGTGTCCGATTCCTGGTTTAATTTTGACCCATACCCATCTGTGTGAACTCGAATCCTTTGACGATGGCCAGACATCTGAAACAAAAGGGAGGTTGGGAGAATCCGCCGCTGAGCAAGGGGAGGTGACTGCCAATTTGACATCTGAGGATCTGGCAAGCTCCCCCGCGCCCGAATCCCCGATCTCGTTCCTGACCAAAATTTCCACGTAGGCATGGGCAAGCGCACCACGGTGATGCGCAGCCAAGCGGAGTTGACAAGTGGAATTCCTCGATGCGCTATGTTCCTATGAGAAATCATAATCTTCTGCCGCACTGCCGCAGGCGCCTGCACAGAATAAGCCGCTGCAAGCCTCACAGGTGACTCTCGCTCTCCTTCTGGTTCTCTCTCTCTCTCTCTCTCTGTCTCTCTCTCTCTCTTTCTCTCTGACTGTCTCTTGTCTGCGTTGGCCCACTTCTCATTATGTTTGATCAGTTCCCACCAGCTTTCTACCTGCGGCATGTGCCTCCACATTGTGGAAGCGCGAGGGCTAAACTTCCAGCGCCAAGGTCGCCAATGAAATTGCCTCGGGCGTCCCAAGGCATCTCAACATGAGACATGCGCTGTTTTATTTTTCCCCAACAGCTGAAAGCTTTGGGGTCTCAGCCCAGATAGCTCCGGGGTGGTCCGGGGCGGCCCTGAGGTAAGGTTCCATCCACGAGGGTTCCACCAGGGTTGAGGTTCTGCGAGGGCTGCGGGGTGGTGCGAGCACTGAAAAGAGCACTACATGCTGTTGGGGATATCACCTGAGCTTATTTATTTTTGAGGGTACCCTTTTTTGTGATGTTCAAGACAAGCCAAAAGGAAAACCACCATTTTGGGTCCCCTAAAAGAGACACACCCGCGTTTGTTCATACCCATTCGACAGTGGGTGACCATTGTGCCCCCAATGTCAGGCCAAACAACATCTGGCAAATATAATTCTAGCATTCCGCTGTCACATCAGGATCATGACATTCAATATCGTGTGTGAGAACGCAGCAAACTGCCTTCCTGCACAAATCTTTGCCTTGAGACAACTGGCTGTAGGGAAGCACGCCATCTTCACAATGCCCTCCAAACTATTCTACGGGATCTGGATCAATGCAAGGGTTTAGATTGTTTGTTTGGGTGCTATGCATCACACCTTGCCGCTGTGCCCACAACATTCCACCAACACCTTAATTCTCTCCCATGTGGCTTCCTTGTGGGATGACGACCCATCGCCCTTCTCGGCAGAGTTCTTGGCCAACATGGTGCTGAAGGCGTTCGTTGATTGAATTGAAAAACACACAGAAACATCAAACTGAGCGCCATTGGCGTTGCTCTTCAACAATACATCCAGGTGGAGCCTTCCAACTACACAGCACAGTTGGTCCCATGCGGCCAAAGACGCGGCACTGCCAACAAACAAAACACAACAAACGGTTGCACACCCAGCTTAATCTGACAATACATGCTCCCAAACACGGGTCATCATTCGAGAGGTCCATTAAGGAGCAGGCAGAGCTCATTATCGGAAAACACAAACAACTGCATGCGCAGTACCCCAGGTACATTTTGCCAGCTGGAAAATCATAGCGTTTTAGTACAGGCAAACAACGCAAAGCACACATTGGCAACTCCAGCTTGAAGTGGAAGACGCGGGTTACTACGCAGCCCCATGCGTGGGATCTGGCAGCAAGGCACAATATTATTGACTTTCGCCACGTTTTCTCAGCAGGTGGCTCACAAGTTTGGTTCAGTTGCCGCTCCAAAGGCAGTGTTGGCGATGCCTTGCTCAATCCGTGGCTGGGCGGCCTGCATGGGGTGCTCCGATCAGTCTCTTTCACGAAACTTTTGCCGACAACACACAAGTGTTGCAAAGTTCGTCGCGAAACTTTCGCAGGGACTACATAAACCAAATGGCCGTCCACTTCGCATTAAGACCTTCAAGCCAAGTTGAAATGGAACGTGATTTTGTTACAGTTTATTAACCGCAGTGCCAATATGTAGACCAGCCCCCGTTTGCGGACTGCGTCTGAGAATGGGCGCTGCCTCACTCTGCCAAGGGGCTGTCAAAGCCAAGGGCTTGCATGGCGCGAGCGCTGGGCAGCGCGGCTGCCAAACCTCACGAGCTTTGGTTTTCTCCGCTGAACGCGGACCTGGGGAGTGCCGGATCTGGCTGTGGGTCAAAACCGTTTTGGGATCCCATTTTGGTTGGTACGTGAATTCACCACCCATTTTAGAACCTATTTTAGTGGTTGGATTGGTTGATGTTCACGGGGGATACGATTTCGATTTTGACCCATGGCCATCTGACCATGTAAGCTTTGGGCACACGGGAATTTGGATCTTGGGTGGAAAGGAACATACTTTGTAGCGTTGATCACAAAGGCAATTCCTCACACATCTACCTTACCCAAAGCGGACTCCAAGCACAGGGCTGCAAAGGCCCGGGTTGCCGATCTCATTGCCAGAGAGGTCCAGCAAATGCAATGACCTCGAAGCTGGCAACCGTTCAATCCAACAACATCATCACCCTTCTTTTGCTCCAGTTGATTGACAGAATATCGAGCCTGGTTCAACACTAATAGTTCCGCTCTGCTTTTCTTCTGCGCAGGATTATACGCACACTGCTCAAGCTCTGCTAAACATTCGGGGCGACTGTCCTGAATTATGACTCTGCATTTCTAGTGTGCCTGTTTTAAGTAGCTAATTCCAGAGTTCAATGATCTGTACCAGCTATTCAATCTACGAGAGGGAAGTGCTCGGGCTTAGCCATTTTGCCTCCTTCACCTGAACAAGGCTCTCGGCAAAGTTCAACTTCGGCCTTCTCCGCATGGCGCTTCAGATCCGCGCGTCTCAACTGGAGCCAAGTGCTCTACGAGGCTCGAGACGCCTGGCTCTACAGCCGCCAGGATCGGATGATCACGCCGCCTTCCGCAGCGGTCGGGGCAGTGCCGTAGGGGATGGCCATGGAAATGAGCCCGTGCATAGCCAATTCTGAATCAATGACCCTGACAGGTCCTGGCTGCATCCATTGGCTTTACGGCCTTGCAACCCTGGTTTCCACCTTTAATCGTTCTGGGAGTCATTCGTCGCTAGCATCGCAGAACAAAGGCCGGGATTCCCTGCGGGGTCGAGATTCTGCCGTATTTATTGGTTCCAAGGAAAACAACACCGATCAACATGCCTGCATCCACCTCGCCCACGTTGAGACCGCCAAGGGCCCGGCTGTAGCAAGCGTGGGCTCTGCAGCAACGTCTCGGCCTCACACACCAACTAAGAATAACACTCAACTTGGGATTTGCTTGGATATTGCTTCTTTCGTATTTTTCAGTGGGTATTCCAAATGTCCAAAGCAAAAACACACACCGCTTACAGCTTGTGACTGCCGTCAAGGAACAGTTGCCCTGAACAATGCAACTGGGCCCTTCTCTCAGTTCTGTTGGCCAAGCAGGGTCCAGAAAGGAAGAACCGGCGAGGACTGTTTAGGTCTGGAAGAGGGCAAAATAACTTATTTGTCAACCTTCAGGGGCCCTTAAGGGGGCTGGCTTCAGACTGCTGAATGGCTCGAGTGGCGGTGGAACTGTCACAGTGGAAATGTCACGATTTATCATTGTCTTTTCCAATCACCAGCCGAATCTATGGGGCACAATGGTGCCCCTGGACTGGCATATTGCCGTGATGCAAGTCCAAACTTTGAAAAGGCTGGACACACGACGTTACCGACCAGTCATCAGCTGAGAACATGATCATCCTGCAGCTATGATCAAAGGAGGATGCTTCAAGAGAGCAGAACAAAAAACGTACTTATCCAGCAAGCCAAAGCAACATTACATCCTTGATTCGAGACTCACACTGATTCAACCACTTGAAAGATACTGTAGCTCCAAATGACTCAATGTCACTCACATTGATTAATACGGCCGCCTTCATTTCAACCAGTACATTGTTTGCAGAAAAAAAAACACAAGCTGTAAATCGAGCCGCAACCACCTCTTGTGGATGTCCAACCAAGTAAGTCAGTCACATTTGGTCGCCTCACGCCGCCTCTTCTGGGGCTTCCGACTAGCGCCTCTGCGCCCGCGTTGCCAATGTGGTTCTGCGCGAGGTTGAGGCCTCAGCGGCTGATTCACCACAAGAGTCCCAGAAACCGATGGAGAATCGTTGCTCTCCCCCAGAGTATCGCTAAGAAGAAAACACCAAGGTGCACGTGAAGCAGTACCGGCCGAAACACGTCTTGCACAAGCTCAAAGTTGACAACAATGCCTTGTGACAACATAGGCTCGCTGAACTAATCTTCTTAAGCAGGAGAGTCATGGACACCATGCAGCAACACATGTGCGGGGATCCACCTCTGGGTACTTGCACTTTCAACGGCGCGACTCATTCAATGTATGAACAAGGCTTTGGTGCAATGCCGGCTTTGCTGATGGTTCCAATCAGTCACAAGGTACATCCTGGGTATGTTGGGGTGGAGGCGGGCTGTGGCTACAATGTGGGACATCCTCTGGCACCGATTTCTTTCTGCTAGGCCGGGAATCCGGACGCTGCAGCTGGCAGCAACTGCCCAGGGCGCTGTGCAGCCTTGACAGTCTCGACCCGTGCTTGCCACACAAACACGGAGTATGTTTGCCTTGCCAACATAACTGGAATCGTCTTGTGCTAAACCATCAATTTGATCTTTGGGGACTTGTAGCAAAACTGATACGTGCTGACTGTTGCATTATTCTCAAGTGATCGCTCCCTGGCAAATGATCACTAATCAGAATCCTGCCATTTGAAGCTTTGTTTCTGTGAGTCACAGCATGTTTTGTGTGTGTGTGTGGTTGCTCTCATCTTGCACCTCTCACTTGTCTCCCTCGCTCGGCTGAGGAAGGGACAGCTGCATTTCCGGGTCTCCCCAGTTCAATCGCGCCAGCGGCATTTCCACGGCCCGCTCCACTACATCCTGGCGAAGGCTCTGCTCTCTTTGCATGCACATTTTTGCATATTGTGGATATGTCTCAAAATACGGGTACTCCCGAAAATGGGTGGTTTAGCCGTTTAGTTTCCCCTTAAAACCATTTCAAACAGGGTGCCCTCAAAAACAAACACACACACACACACACATACACACACACACACACATACACACACACACAGACACACTCATAGGCAGCTTTCCGGAGCACGTTGACCTCATTCTTGCAGAGTGAAATTGGATGAGAAGATTGCAGAAAGGGACAGCACTTGAAGGCGCAGATTGTATAAAGATTGCATCAGGAGATCTTGTACCAACTCATTGTACCCCAGAGCATTTGCAACTAGCGATTACATACAAACAAACCATGAAGCAAGCAATTGCAGGCAAAATGTGGAATGGGGTGGCTTCAACAAAGATATCGCAACTATCGCATGTATGAGAGAGGTCGCACCAAGAGATTGCGTACCAGATTGCGCAAACAGAGTTCGCCTCAATATTGCACTAACACATTGCAACATCAAGGACATTGCGCAAGAGAGTACTCAAAGAGGCCATTTCACCTCTTTTGCACAATTGCTGCAAACCTTGTCACTTGACGAATTTTGCGGCCATAATTCCCAGCTGATTCTGGCTCTTTTGCGCTGCCTCTGGGCTGTGTGATGAGTGACGTACTTGCATGGCTGGGACCTCTTTGTTGGCAAGCTCTGTCTCAAAGAAACGCAAACTTCACCGATTGCGCGCCTCGTACACCTCGCGGTATAGGATGCCCAGCAAATCTCGATCGAAGCCTCAGGTCAAACTCCAGGAAGATTCGATCATGATGCATCTGTCGGCTTGGCCCATCTGGAACAAAGGACAAGAAGCCTTTAGCACGTTAGATGATCCGCCCCCAATTTGAACCGTGACAGACTTGGGCAAGGCCCCTCCCTTCATGGATATTTGCAATCTTCCCAGCCGCACGGGCAAGCGGCACTCCAATAGAGTCTCTCTTCAGTCCCTGGCTCCATGAGAAATGTTTCTGCTGGAGCTCAGCGAGGAATTCCGAGGGCCTAAGGCTGACTGTGCCGCAAACCATGGCTTGGGACTGGGAGCTTTGGCTGCTTTTTCTGACAAGCTCCAACATGGAAACATGCATGGGCGCATCACTTTTTGAGCGTCACTCTTAACCTTTCAGAGCCTTTTTGGGGGGACCTTGGACTCACAAGCCTGCAGGGCTGCCACCGTGCGCAACTTCCCACTTGCTTCCGCAAAACCTTCTGTGGCCACGGACATCTGTGGTGGCAGCCGCTTGGCTCGACACTGCCGGACAATGTCCTGCCTTGGATCCGACCAACTCCTCCCGCACAGAAAACAAACTTCTCGCCCTGAAATAGGAGCGTGCACGGGTGGATGTCTGCAGTTCAATCATGTCTACAAAGCTCGTGCGGGAGTGCCGAGGGGGGTTCCGCTGTCTGGATCAACTGCCATTGGGATTGGACAAAGCAAAAGCAAGCGCTCGCCCGCCCTCGCCTGATTTACACGATGGCTGCGATGCTCCAACGTTACCCTTTGAATCTGAGTGCACAGCCAGTGCATATCCGGAGTACGCTGGAGCAAACCTTCCGGTGATGCAGCTTGTATTCGGTTTCAGTAGATTCACGTACATTATGTGTTGGTTACTGCGGTGAGCAAGGACGCATGAATACGCATGAGTGAGTAACCGTCAACCCTAGCCGAACGTGTAGATGATTGAAGATGGTAGGGGCTCATGGGTGTTTTCCCTGACCGTCAAGCTTCCGCCTGTAGTTTGGGTTTGCCCAGTTTCGCCTATTTTTGGTGCTTGCCGCTTCGGGCTTGTCTTTGTTTTGAGCTATGTTGGCCAGCCTTCCGACAACCGCTGTCGATCGGCAAACGCATCATGCTTTCATTTGTGTGACACTGTGTTCACGGCCGGGCAAGCATGCATGCTCAAGTACAGTAAGCACAGCATGTTCATAACTGTGCAGGCAGAACTCGCATGGACCAGTAACAACACCACGAGACTTGCCAATTTCTCCCACACGTCAAAGGCTGGATATTTGAACACGAAAGCACAAGTAGCCAAATTGGGAATGTGTCAGAGCAACCCTTTTGAGATCCATGGAGACCCCATGAACACAGAATGCCCCAAGGAACTTCGAAACAAATAGCTGACTTCCGCGGAAGAAAAGGGACGTGCGCATATTCACCCGGAGTCCGAGAAGTGTCCGAGAAGTTACCAAGCCTCCATCATCAGAGACCATACGGGGATGCTGGGATGCTGGCAAAGGGTTGCATCCTCAAACTTGCAGTGGTTTGGTTTGGTGGTCCGGGGCCTATACACTACTTGCACGCCTACGCGGAAGCCTCCGCAAGCCTACGCCGCTGCAAAGGGTGCCTACGCGAGCACAAGTCAGCTTCCAGGTGCCTACGCAAACACCTACGCGGGCAGATGTTCAGTTCAAGCGTTGAAGTGCACTTTGGCAGCTCCAACTGGAAAATCGCAACTTTTCAGTACAAGAGCAGTTTTGGCAGTTCCAGCTCTAAGATCACCTTTGCAATACAATTGAGAACCCACATCTGTTGCAGGATCTGGCTGCTAGAAAAGGTCTACGTACTCTGAAATGCCTTGAAAGCCTACGCGAATGCCTACGCGGGGTCTACGCGGAGCCTAGGCGAAGGTTGCAGAACAAACGGAAGGAAGGTAAAAAAAACAAACTCCGTTATACTTGGCAAACAGCACTGAGCCATGATTTGTTCACACGCCTACGCGAAAAGCCTACGCGAGGGTTGACACAACAACCTACGCGCAGAAGCCTACGCGAGCCTACGCCCCCGACCAGGATTGCCACCGCAAAGTTCATGCAGTTCCCTTTTTGTATAGACCTTTTCATTTGATTAAAAACCGCTGCTCAAATGCAAGACAACACTGGGGTTGGGCACCTGTGCCAAAAACGCCCGCCCACCCCCCCCCACCCACCAGGCACGCACGCAAGTCAAGCCAGTACACGTACACCCGCCCACATGAATTCAGCAAGCATGATGATGCGGAAAATGTGTTTGAGCCGTCCTGCACCTATGGGCAATCAATGTCAGAACAATGTTAGATCGTCCCGTGGTGTCCCTGCAAAACGATGCGGGACTTCGGGGACATGCAGTACTTGTTGCTATTGTGGTCGGTCGTTTGGGTTCATTCAATGTCTCATCTCTTCTGCTTGGGAGGCTTGGGGAGAATCATGCAAACCTAAAGGATTTCCAGACTGGGCCATGATCCAGCGTCTCCCGCCTATGTCCATCACCTCTTTGCGTCTGATGGGCAGGAGACTGACAGCCTCATGAAAAAACAACTCAATCTCATGCCAAATAACGGCTATGGTACCATGCGTTTATGTATGTCGGAGCAGCACGCCATTTATTCCGTGGAACAGCAAGGTGAATCGATGCCTGTCACATTCTGGTTTTCTCTTCTGTCTATGTTCGATCCGCGATCCTGTCACCCACTGGTTGCCAAAGCGAGCTGCGCGGCTGACGCACATCAGCGTCGCGGTCAGAGGCCGCTGCCCGCTCGAAGGTCGGCCAACCGCGGCGGCTGTAAGGCTCCTGAGACCGCGCGCGTGCAACGCGCGCAACGAGCGCCTGGCTACTTTCCCGGTGTCAGGTGACTCAGGGCCACGCTGCTCCGATGGGGGACTGCGTGAACAGCCACACGTTGGTGTGCTCGTGCCTCCGCGCAAACCCGGTCACCAAAGGATTGAGTTGCTGTTGAAAAAAACGCTCTCAACTTTTGCAGCTGATCGTTTCGTGCAGCTTCATGAGATTGCTCTGGGAGGGAAAAGCACCGATTTGACTGAGGATCTGGCGCAAACCAGCGCCCAACCTAAGCTGAGAATATCACTCCAAGCGACTCAGCGCTTCATCCAAAGCCCAGGCCTGTTGGAGGAACAGCTCTGAGGTGCGACGTTCATCTGCGAATCGCGGCTCCTAGGCAACATGGATCTTTCTGTGGCCCAATTCGACATCTCTCTTTTGGCATGCCCTACACCGTGAGGCCTGGTAGATGCTGCACCAGTCCAACAGCACGGCGACGTCAGTCCTGAAGAAAATTCGGAGAAAATTCGGCGGCAGCACAAATCTCAAAACTCACGAGGTCCTCGTCTCACCCTCTATCTCATCCTGTTTCAGCCAGCTCTCCTGGAAGCTCGGATGCTGTGAGCTGTTTGGCAAAGTCCCACGAACATGTACCCACCGTTTCAACGACCTAGATGAGACGCCTTCCCAAGAAACGTGCTGCGTTTGCAGAATCAAAGCATAACTTACTAACATGGTCCGCTCGAACTCCAAACACTTCTCTGACCCCCCAAGCAAAATATAGCGAAATGGCTATGAATTTTGGTGGGGAACCCCCTGCAAAGTGTTTGGTGGACGTTTGTATCCCCACCTAAATGATGTCCACCAACGGGCCCCTTATTAAAATTCAAATCCAAATCAGTTCATCCCGCAACAGAAGACTTCTTACAGGTTGCTCAATGAGCTCACTCTACCTCCCGGGCAAGCCCGCCTCAGGCGCTACGACGTGTGGCGCAGGCTCCCTGTCGAGAAACTTCTGCGACTGCACCCTTGTCGCACCCAATAAACATGTTCCATGCTATTGCACCCCCTCTTTCTCTCTGGTTCTTGCAAACACAACGCATGTTTTCTCTCTGCCCGATCTTGTCAACTGCTCCAACGACCAGGTTTTTGCAAGCAAAATTAATATTTTCTCTGCCGGATCTTGTCACGACGAGGTTTTTGCAAACGCAATGGATGTTTAGTTGTCGTTTGCACCCTTGATGCTGGTGGGTTCTCACACGTGGTGTGTTCATGATGCATCCATTCGCTCCATACGGTCATAACTGCCCTTGTACTTTGTGCAACAGCGACACTACCGCAACGGAGAGTGAAGCAACAGTGGCACAGCGTTGATCTGATAAGATCTGACTCGGAATAATCCTCTTGGGGTGCACGCCGTGTGGCTCTTTGAAAGCTTGCAGTGTGACTCAGCTCGAAAACGGCGCTGCATATCCATTGGTCCAGCTTACACCAATATAAGCACCGCCTTCAACAACAACAACAACAACAGCACCTTCGTTTCTTACTACGTACTAGTATGTGCCTGAAACCAGATTGGGACTTTCGGCCGCGACATCACAGCTTCTGCTTTCTGGATTCAAATTGGATTCACAAAGGGCTCGTGAGCCACATCATGTCTTTGCCCACTAAGTGGGAGAAGGTGTTGACATACTTGGATATCTTGGGTCTGGACCCGCAAACTAATCAACTGCATTGATGACTCGGAGTATGGAAGGTGATCATGACCCTAGTCCAGTTCAACCACACTGACGCCACCTTTGGTCAAGGGTGCACCTTCGTCTTTGGAGCGAGGTCAGCCAGCAATCCAGCAGCTGCCCGAGCAGCTGCAACTGCGCGCCCTGCCATGATGCAAAGGTGCCAGTTCACATACCCCGCGTGTGCTCATACTGTGAGGGGTGTCTCAAAATAGGGGGGCCCTTTTTGGATGGCCATCAAAGAACACCGAAGAGTCTTCCCTGAGAACCCCGCGCTTTGGAAGTCGAGGCGCTTTGCAAGCTACAATTTCAATGGGGCACATCCTTGCCCATGGGCAGGCCCCACGCGTGAATCGAGTCGCGACCCGTGCCTCCGGATCCGGATGCGCTGAGGTCGCCCAGCAGTATGACACCTACATGTCACATGACAACTTTGGCACTTCACGGCTCAGCAAAGAAAACAAGCATGCCAGCGGCACCGCGAGCAAAGGAGTCCCCTTGCGGATTTCCTCCGCGCTACAGACCGCCTTGCAGGGTGAGTCTGGCACCTTTTGAACTGTGGAAGATGCTACTTGCCCGGCCAACTGGCCTCAAGTTATTTGTCCTCAAAGGATGTTTTCAATCTGAGTCTTTGCACTTGGAGCCCAAAGCCTGCTATCCCACGTTTCGCCTTGATTGCTTCAAACTCAAACAGTCCCCGGATATTCAAAGCTGCCGCTTTGCAAGGCTCAATCAGTTGGCCCGGCGCCTCTGGAGGCACGTTCTGGCGCCTTGGCATCACAGGTCCTCGGCGAGCTTGCGAGGCGACACCCTCGAGTGATGCTCCCTCAATCCAATGCACAAACATCAAACACTAGCCAAACCCATGTGTAAGACTCAATGTGTGGGCATCAAATCTCTGAGTATCTCGAAAACTGCAAACAAAGCGGCCCATGCCATGACAGCTTTGAGTTCAGAATTCCCATGAGCATTTGTCTGCGACCATTTCTCTCAGACACCAAAACCCTGGTCATCGGATCTGTCACGTAACCCAGTGTCGCTTGCAACTATGTCTCAACTAAACCTCCATGGGTATGAGTCAAAGTCAAACCAGGAAGTGGACCAAAGGTTTTAGCGCTTTCCATTTGCCGATGGCGCATGCCAATTTGGGGTTCCCTACTGTGGATGGACGAAATCCATCGCACCTAAAAAACCCTGGAATGACTCGACTCCCGTGTACATACCAACCAATGAGTTTCCCATGCATGATAAAGTGGTGCGAAAGGGATTTCGCAGGCATCCACAATAGGAAAACCCCCCCAAACTGGCTTGCCCCAGTTGGACCCAAGAAATCGGTTTGGCTTAGGACCGAAAATTCAACAATACCCTAAGTCCTGAAAAGCCCTAGATTGGAAGGCACCAAAACCTTTGGTCCACTTCCTGGTTTGACTTGGACCTCACCGCGTGCCGACCCACCGAGTCCACCCACAGCCACCGCGCTGATTGACTGAGGCTGCGGCGGGCGCTGCTCTTTGCCAGCTCGGCCAGCCAGGAGCCCCAGACCTGGGCGCGGTTGAGTCCGTTGAGTCAGCTAGATGAGTCAGCTAGGCGCGGGGTATACTATGTATACGATGTGCGTATACATATATATATATAGCCACATATATATAGTATTTTCACACGCCGCCTATCACACAAACACTCATATTCACATACCTGTGGGAAAACAACATAATGTTTGGCTGCGATTGCCAGAGGGGGAGCCTCAGCAATTGCTTGCCCTGGACTTGTCCTTGCAGTTCTCAGCGAGGTTCTCAGGCAATGGCAAGCACCGCATCACCAGCAGTCAAGGATTGTGCCAAGGCATCCAAACCTCATCGCAGCAAGTTGAAATGAATGTCTCGTGCCATGCCGGACGCACAACCCACTGTCAATGACCCGAGGACACAGCTGGTGTAGGAGCCACCTTCAGCATGCCAACTGCCCCTGCCCTGCAGTGGTAGTGCCTGGCCGGCAACATTATGCACAGGCTGGCACACACACACACACAGCCGCAGGCACACATGCAAAGTCCAGCCTGTGCACCAACACTGTCCTCAAAATCCTCGGGGATGCACTTTCACGCGAGAGCGCTTGGAGAAGTTCATAACCAGTTCCTGTTCCGCAGTTGTTGCTCAGGTTGTCGTGCTAAAGGAAGGAATTGCATCTGCTAGCGACATCAACAATTGTTGAAGTTTGCTGAACCTTCGTCATAACACGCGTGCGTGATCCAATAGAACAGGTGCTATTGCTAGCACTTCCTGCACTTGCAGCTGCACATTGACTCCGCGCCGCGATTGACTGGGCGCTGCACGGAGAATTGGCTGGAGCATGGACTGTCCTGTCTGCTCATAAGCTTGGCAATACATCTTGGCTTACGTGACATTTTGAGGCTAAAGCAATGCAATTTTTGGTTTGGACTGTTTTTTTGATGCAATCACAACGTGGCAAACTATCCACAGGTCACGTGTGCCCGGACGCCGCATTGCGTATGGACGCGAACGCAGGCGGGCAAACGTCTCCTGCGAGCTCTCTGCCTGCGTGAAGGAGAAGGCCTGAGACTGAAGGGCAAAAAAGTCGGAGTTTGCTGGACATCCCCCTTTGCAAGCAGCTGCGACTTGCTCTTGCTCACACTTCAACCCTGCATTCTTGAACTTGCTACTGCTTGCCTGGAAACAAAAAAAGAAACGAATATGGAAGCTAGTTTGTCATACGCTTTGCCCCTTGTCCATTGAAACTTCTCCAAGCCAAGGGTTCTCTTCTCAACGACAACCCCCCCCCCCTTCTCTCAACTGACGCTGGCCTTCGGATGCAACGAGGCGACCTCCGGGATCAAGGCCTGGTCTGTTGCTTCCATGACTTCTGTCTTGGTCTCTCGGATTGGAGATCCCTTTCTTTGGAGGAGGTCAAGCACTTGTTCCATTTGGGCCTCAAATGAAAACCCTGTCCACTGAGATGGAAACTGACCATCAAATTCGTTTGCTTTGCTGTTGGTGGGTGGGAGGGGATGTTTCTGGATATGTTCAGGTCAACATGTGCGTCTTCTGCATTCTTGCACGCAAAGCGAGACCAATAATTGCAAATGACAACATCAGGTCATTGTGAAGCAGGACACAACTCGGTCCTCTCGAATGATGGCACCAGAAGCAATCTCCTTGTCATGCTCGTCGCCTGCCCAAGTTTTGAGGTAAGACACACGGCTTTCAAGCCGAGATGTTCACATGCTGAGTCAAGGAGCCTGAGCGGCAACAGCAGCACAGGGGACCTACGGCAGGTAAGGGGACCCATCCGCCATTCGAAGCTGCGCAGTGCTTCCGCCAGCGTTCGGCTCAGTCGTGCCTTTGCCGCCTTCAGCTTTGAGGTCTTGCCTTGATTCAGGAGCCGCATGGCAACTTGCCAAGCAACGCATGCAGACAGCGCAGCTTGCATGGCCGCTTGAGTCTCACCAGTGCCAAATCGCCATACCATGACACATCACACTTGTCGGATAGCCAAGGTGATTGCGTGTGCTCGTCACTCTCGATAGAGTGCTGCGCCTTAGTTCAGGTTCGGCACTCCTTTCAAATATGGGAGTGAATTCTATTGGGGGCACCTTTTGTGGACATCATCTAGGGGTCTCATGTCAACCAACCAACTATTGAGGTTGTTCCCTACTAAACATCATAGTCATATGGCTGTGGGTCAAAAATAGGTACCCAAAATGGCACCCTGGTAAATGGAAACAATGACTACAACCTGTGATCCCCTAATGGTTTAATTTTGGCCCATAGCCATATGAGTGCTGGAGGAAGCCAAACTTGGCCTTCCCTGGTCACTGGCCAGTCCAAGTCGCCAGCACTCAAGGGAATGAGAATTGGAACCCCCATAAATCCCCTCGTGGTTTCCTTTGAAGGACTCCCTTTATTCCAGAAAGCCCCGGGAGCACCAGCAAATCTAGGCCGATGGAGCCTAAGGCACCAGCCCCCATCTGCCAAGGCGAAGCACCCGCCCATGACTCATGCCAAAGCTACAACCATTCTGAACCAACTGAATCGACATGTCTCCTTCAGATTCGTCCACCAAGTGCCCTGTTCAAAAGCAGCAACTCCATGGAACCTGCTGAAGGCATGCTCCAGCTTTTTCGCGGCATGGCTTCGAAAGCAGGTCAGAAACATGCTCCCTGTGGCTCAACTCAGATCCGGCATCTCGCCTGCTAGCGTGAAAGATAACGCAGCAAACACATACGCAATGCATGATGGCACGCTGATCACCAGCTGCCGCCTTCAGCATGAGCTTCTGGCGCCGGCCTCTGACCACAGCGAAGCACCAGCCGACTCTTGAAGACGGGGACCCGGGCCTCAATGCCTTGATCAGCCTCTTCGGAGTGAGTAGTGAGGTACCGCCCATGAGGACCTGGAACATTGAAGCCATGCACAAATTGAGCTGAGTCGAGCACTGAAGCACCTTGCAACTCCGCCCTGTCTACTCGGTGCCGCAAGAATGGTCAAGAATCTCAAGACCTTACACACACTCCAAAAAGAGTGAAGTGCCCTGGTCACTCCCTCTGCTCATAAACTCTCAGAATTTGGGGGGCAAACTGCTGTTGCTCGATTTGTATGTGCCACGAAACAGCTTCAGCAGGCTTCGCGATGCTTTCGCTTCCGATGGAATTGTTGTTCGGCGCGCTTTCACTGCAGAAGGTACTCCTTCGCGGGGGGGTTCGTGGGGCCGCGGGGCCTTCTTTAGGCACCTTCGCGATTCACTCTGCAAGCTGTCCTGGTCGTTCTGGCTTTCGCGGGGGCTCTACAGAGCATCCTCCTCTACTTCTCATTGCCAGGATGGCGCTCGCTGTTCAAAAGCAAATGGGTATGGGTAAAAACAAAAACCACCATGGTCCATCCATGTTTCCATTTACCAAAGTTCCCATTTTGGGTACATATTTTTGACCCACTGCCACATTTGTGATCCCCCTCCAACCCTTTGGCACTCTGCGCCCGCCAGGCTTTTCAAACCCTGCGCCTCGGTCCCCCGTGGGAGATTTTGCTGAACCTGCGCAGGCGACTCCGGGTGACTCGGCTAAGATTTCAAAAGGAGATCTATATAAGCCTCCCGGTTCTCAAGAGACACACACGCAAAACAGGCATGCCACAGTAACGCTTCATTTCGAATGCTGTCAACCACACGACTACGTTGTCCACAAGGTTGCACACGAGATGTGCCCCAACACGAGGATACAGCACCAATTGAGCATTGCTTTTTTAGAGGTTCAGGGCGTATACACTGCTGGGGAGGCTACGCAGGGCCCTTGTGGAAGCTAACGAGGCTTCGCGGCAAGACTGTGGCTTCGCGGAGTGGCTTCGCCGGGCAAACATCTCTGACGTTTGCACTCCCACGTTGTTGAAGCAACTTGAGTCCATGCGAAAGGGGGTAATGAAAGGCCGCAAGAGAGGCATTGATCTTCAGGACTAGGGGACATGGCTGGGCCTCAAAGGGGCGGAGCATCAAAGTTGGACCGCGGTGGCTTCGCGGAGGCTTCGCGGGGGCTTCGCAGAGGCTTCGCGAAAGCGTTCCATCGTTTGTAGCAAAACCGGGCCTGAAATGCACAGTGCTCTTCCGGTCGTCTTCATATGTAATCTTCCTGTAATCTTGTCGTAGCCTGCTGACTCTAAACTACTGCCATTAAAGCACGCAACACACTTGCCATGAAAGCACGTAACACACTCAAACCACGAAGTGGCTTCGCCTGTCAATGTTACCGGGCTACGCGAAGTGGCTTCACGGAGCTTCGCGGCACACAATGTATCACACAAGTGCCTTCGCGGATTGGGAGTTCCCCGCGAAGATAACATCCATCATCTGAGAAAGAAACGCTGCTGAATTGTTCACCTTATACTGTGGGGTATTGATCTACGAGCACTACGCCGGGCGCTTGTTCGGCATCGTCTTTGCCTGCACTGAGCCCTTCAACCCACTAAGTCGACATTCGTGAGAACTGATGCTGTGCATTGAAACTACGTTGTGTCGGTATCCGCAAAATGGCCCGGACAAAAGCATAGACCCTCGTTTCGTTCCGCCTTCCTAGTCCCAGTTCCCAGGGTGCATTGTTGAGAGCACCCTTTGACAGGTTGGTTTCAAGGAAGAAGGTGGAACCACGATTCTGAGTACCCTTTGAAAGGTTGGTTGCAAGGGACTGAGCTAAAACCACGTCTTTTTGGGGAACCCCCCGAAATTTGGACACCCCAAGTTTCGCCCATCCTCTGCCGCCGCTCGGAGCTCTGAGTGGGTGAAGCCACCAAGCCTCAGAGTCCGGTTCGGTGGGGCTTCCCATTTCTCCTTTGAAATCCCCAATCCAAACCACTAAGGGTTTCCTTTTCACTGGGTAGGTCCCATGGGTTGTGGGTGTGCCAAACTTGGGGGACCCTTTTCTCGTACTCGAGGCAGCTCAACACGCTCCGCTAGCTTCAGAAAAACTCTGACAGGACATTCAGTCCGGCCAGTGACGCAGTTTGCCGCAAGTGCGTTGGGCACACACACACACACCACACACACGAGCATACGTCACGAGGCAACCTTGTTCGTCATTGAGAACCCAAACTGAGGCTCCGTTTCCCGGTGTCTTGGGCTACCGAGGCTTGGGCACAAAGACCACGATGCGATGGGACACCTCGGCCTTCTCGCGCTCCTCTCCTGTCAGGAGGCTCGCACCCTTTTTGTTCGGGCTACCTTCTGCTTTTGTGTTGTTTTGTTTGGGGGGGGGAGGGGGGGCAAACAAAAACACACATTTTGGTTGGGGGGGAGGGGGGGTACAAGGGAAACCGCCAGCAAAACCACCTCCCGAAAAGAAGACCGGTCCGTGTTTTTCTTTCTTCCTTTTTGGGGGCAGGGGGGGTTTTGGGGTTCAGGGAAACCGCAAGGAACGACCAAAAACAGTTTCCACAAAAGGAAAACCACTGTTTTTGTTGGGGGCCTGAAAGAAGACACGAACTCCAAACCTCCTCACACAAGTGCGAAGGACCAGCCTCCCGACGCGAACGACCAGTCGTCTTTCGCCTTCACACAGGAACTAGTGCATCCTGATTGGTGCTTGTGGGAATCTAGGCACTTGGGCAGTCACATGGGGTCACAATTCCCAACTTCAACGTCAAATTTCCATTTCCCATGGCATGTTGCCTGAATCGCAGGGGCTCCCAGTGCTTCCGCTGTCGCATAGCCGGCTTCCCGGAGGCCTTGGGGAAAAGCTGCGAAGCCGGCTTCCGATATCGCGGAGTGGGTCACTTGTCGCATCACTGAGTACTCCACCAAAATCATCCCTTGGCATTTGCATTCTGCAACTTTGGGGCCTTCAAAGACTCAGAAGCCGAGGATAGCACCCTGAGTTCTGGCACACTGGGAACTCCTGGCAGGGCTCCAGCCCCTCAAGTCGCATGGAAGGTGTCTCTGAGGTGCAGCTGGCCTCGAAACTCAGGCGATCTTCAGCCAATCTCTCCAAGAGCTCCTGGCGAGCGCCCGGAGTCATTAACATTGAGAACTCCACTGTCCTATTTAACACGAGGGAGTGGGGGCCTGCTACAAACATCCCCGCAGGCGTCGCCCCAAATCGTCTCGCAAAACATCACCCCATCTTAGCGTCGTCCTGCCAACGTCCCGCCCTACCAGAAATCCGTCTGGGAAACATCCAGGACATCCGGCAACGTCTTTCCATTCGTTGGGGTTGCTGCTAAGCATCCGGGCCAAGATGGGGGATGATCAGAAACATCCCGACAAACATGAGGGATGATTCAAAATATCCTCCGAAACATGGGGGCTGTTTAAAAACATCCCCGCCAACGTCGGAGATGATTAGACTGATCACGGAAAACGTCGGGGATGATTAAAAACATCCTCGCAAACATGCGGGATGTTTGGAAACATCAACGAGGTTGTCCGGGCGCGCGAAAACATCAGCAAAATCGTCTGCGATCAAAGCGAACCTTTTCAAAGAGGTCTCCAGTCTTCGACATCTTCAGCAACAAACCCACTCCCACAGACCCCCCGCCCGACGCTGTGCCCGACGCGTGACCCGATGCAGGACCCCTCGCCGCCGCACCCAACGCCCAGGACCCCCGCCCGACGCTGCGCCCGACGCACGACCCCCCGCCCGAAGCCGTGCCCGACGCCTCCCCGCCCGACGCTGCGCCCGACGCCAGACCGCCCGCCCGCCCGACGCACGACCCCCGCCCGACGCCGCGCCCGACGCTCAATACCCCCGCCCGACGCCGCGCCCGACGCTCAATACCCCCGCCCGACGCCGCGCCCGACACCTCCTGCCCGACGCTGCGCCCGACGCATGACCCCACGCCCAACGCCGCGCCCGACGCCCAAAGACTTCAAGATGCCCCGCCCGACGCTGCTGCATGCCCCGGGCGTGGCGTCGGGCGCGGCGTCGGGCGCGGCGTCGGGCGCGGCGTCGGGCGTGGCGTCGGGCGCGGCGTCGGGCGCGTTCCGGTCGGGGCATCCTCGAAAACGTCGTCGAAAACATCGCCGAAACGTCCTCGAAACGTCCTCGGAAACATCGCCGAAACAGTCTCGACGCGCGTGGTGTCGGGCGCGGGGATCGGTCAAATCGGGCGCGGAGAAAACTTCCTCGAAACATCCTCGATTCGTCCTCGAAACATCCTCAACTTGTCCGACGTCCTCAAAACAGCCCCGGAATAGCCGCGAAACATCCTCGACGTTAGCGTCGCGGTGTCCGGCCGGAGGGCGCGCAGCAAGATCGTCACTTTTGTCGTCACCGTGCGCAGCCAGCACGGTGCAGCATGGCCAATCAAACGGCCCTACTCCTGGCAAATCGTTCGCGGCAAGTACTCGACAATGCCTGTCAGGGGCACGCGTGCGCTTCCCAGCCCTCGGCACGGCCGCTCGAAGTCCCTGGCAGCTCGCACTGAGACTAGTAGTCGTGGCAGGCCCCCCGGGCTGCCCCCACTACTGCATTCGGTATACCGCATGCTGTTTCGTCGGTCTGCAAAGCCCTTCTCAAGGGCAGCAAGGGGCAGGCGAAAGCTGCACAACGGAGGTTTCAAGACCTGCTCGAGCCCACAAAGGAGCTGGAAGCACCCCCCAAACAGTTGCCGTGAACCTGACCAGGTTGCCCGTGACGTTCCCGTTGCTGATTCCTATGGGGTTATCTCGCTATTTGAGGAGCACTGAAGCTACCCGCCCGCGCCCCACGCCAAGCCTCCGGCCAGCCAACAGCCATGGCTTCCACTGTGCCCGACGGCCCAGCCAACGAACACTGAAAACCATGCATTGACAGCTAGACGCCAAGCCACGCCCAAAAAACAACGCGATTCCAATCCTCGCCACTGCCGCACTCCCAGTCATGCCAAACCACGGAAAAACACCCCGCCACTCCAAACCCCGGAAAAAACACTTCAAACCCCTCCAAGCACCCCGCCCAACAGCCAAGGGCGCGGGCGCCCGACGCTCAGCAGCTCGCCCGACAGCCAAGGCGCCAAGCACCTCGCCCAACAGCAAGGCGCCCTGACTCGCCCAACACTGCCTACCAGCCAATTACGCCGGACAGTGCGTGCAACGGCGTGCCCGACGCCTTGCCCGACGCCCTGCGCGACGACCGTCGAGAACCCCTGAAAAACTACTCCCAACCAAGGAAAAACACTTCCAAGCCACCGGCAAGGCCATTGAAAAACACCGCCCCCGACTCCCGACATCTCCCGACGGCGCCCAACGTCAGGTCCTGGCCCGCTCGACGCCAAGCTCCCCGCCCAACAGCCAAGAACCCTGGCCCGCCCGACCCCGAGCACCCGCCCAACATCCGGGGTGCTTTTGCCCGCCCGACCGCCCGCCCGACGCCAACCCCGCGCGCAAGAGCGAAGCGCTGGGCCGGCTTGTCCCACCAAGCACCGCGTAACAGAAAGGGCTTGCTTGACAGACAGCCTGCCCCATGCGTGCGCCCGACAGTGCGTCCGACGGTGCGCCAGTGTGCCCGACGCCCAACTTTTTGCAGGACCGCTTGCGACGGCGTGCCTGACGCCAACTTGGGTGGGCGGGCCTACTTGCTAGTAGATGGCGGACTTAGGCGATTTGCTAAGCCACTTGCCAGTTGTCTAACTTGAGATAGTAAGTCCGCTAAGTCTGACTTGCGGACTTGCAACCTGGCTAAGTCCACTTGGCGAGTTAGAGGACTTAGCTAAGTAGATGTAAAAGCGCCGACATAGTTAGCTAAGTCCTCTTAGCCAGGTTGCGAGCCCGCTAAGTCAGACTTAGCGGACTTACTAACTCACCTACTAGCAAGTAGGCCGCCCATCCAAGAAGCTTTTTGCGCCGTGCTCACCAGCCGGGGCGCTTGCCCGATGGCCCGCTTGACAGCGTGCCCGACGGCGTGCCCGACGCCAAGCTTTCTACGCCGCGCACAGCAGCCGGGCCGCCGGCAGCGTGCCCCACACTGTGCCCAACACCAAGCTTTTTGCGACAGCGTGCCTGACGGCGTGCCCGACGCAAAGCTTTTTGCGCCGCGCCCAACAGCTGGAGCACTTGCCCAACGGTGTGCTCGACAGCGTGCACGACGCCAAGCTTTTTGCGCCGTGCCCAACAGCCGGGGCGCTTGCCCCACGGCGTGCCCGACGGCGTGCCCGACAACCGCTCACAACGACCAAAAGTCACATAAGAAAAGCGACAAACGCTTCCAAACCACTCCAAAGCTCCAAGCTGAGGAAAAACCGCCAGCCCACTCCGAAGCACCGACCCCAAACCGCACGCAGCCACTCCGAACCACGGAAATGCGCTATAAACCACTCCGCGCCACTCACAGCCACGCCAAGCCACAAAAAACACCCAGTAAGCAACTCCTCAAACTACTCCTCACATCTGAGCTCACCCAGCGCCACGCACCGGCCCCAAAGCCAAGAGCCCTGGCCCGCCCAACCCCAAGCACCGCGCCCAACAGCCGGGGGTTTGCCCGACGGCGTGCCCGACGGCGTGCCCGACGGCTTGCTCGACGGCATGCCCGACGGCGGCCTGCCCGGAAAACAACTTCAAACCAAGGAAAAACGCGTCCAAACCACTCCAAAACGCAGGAAAAACCGGCAACCCACTCCGAAGCAGTAATCCAATCCAAACCTTAGTCAAGCTTTGGTCTCACCAAAGCCAACCCTGCAATCTCAGGAGCAAGCCAACACCCCTCTAGCGCAGGTGGCGGCATGCGGATGATTCAGGGGCAGGGGGGATGATTCAGGGGATGGTTCTGGGCAAGGGGGATGATTCTGAGGATGGTTCTGGGCAGGGGGGATGATTGTGAGTATGGTTCTGGGCAAGGGGGATGATTCAAGGGATGGTTCTGGGCAGAAAAGATAATTCAGAGGATGGTTTGGGGCGGGGGTGATGATTCAAGGGATGATTTAGGGGATGGCTCTGGGCATGGGGGGTGTTTCTGAGGATGGTTCTGGGCAGGGGGGATGATTCTGAGGATGGCTTGGCCGGGGGTGATGATTTGGCGCTTGATGCGCGGGATGTTGTTGCACAAGGGGGATGATGTGAGGGATGATGCTGGCGGATGTTTGGGGGATGGCTTAAATAGACAGATGCGCTCTCAACATTAACACAAACCTCCGCCGCCCCTCCTTCAAGCATGGCTCAAAGCGGGACAGCTCGAACCGCCCTTCTGCCTTGGGAGCGGATTCCAATACCCCAAGATGAATGGTTTGAGGGTCGCACTGTCGCATTCTTCTTGGAGCGCGCAGCCTGCAACGTCTCATACTGGTTCCTGCTTTTGTTTGAAGCTACCTGTTTCAGGTTGGCTTGAAGGGACCTCCAGAAGGAAAATCTGCAATGTTGGGGTGCGAGACCTATCACACACACACAGATACAGAATAAAACTGCCTTAGCAACCAGTCCTTTGCTGAATTGTGGGAAGACTTTCGCTTGAACGTTTCCCATCTTCTCAACTTGATTCGGTAACTCTGCAACTGTCATTGACTTGAAGCTTCCCTATCACAGGTTGTAATATTCTACACTCACAAGTTTGATGAACCAAGCCCTTCATACTCAGTGCGCAAGCTTTCGGGAATCTGACCCGTGCTACATGGCACCACGCGGCGCATTCAGCCCAAATCTTTTTCCGACTGTTGGACAGCTTCTGGAGTCCTGCAGGACTGCATAAGGCTGTAACTTTTGGGGAACTTTGCTCCCAACTCAGTCAGTCACCACGCAGGTCTGAGCAATGAGCAAAAGAATGAAGCGAACATTTCCGCGTCAGTCCAAATCCACTTGGCTCGAAGTTTCATGAAACGCCCTGGCTTTCGAGGCTTCGAGGCCTAGCCAGTCCAAGAAGGCACAAAGCGTCTCAGGCAATCCAGGGAGCTGATTGTGAACTTGGCCTAGCAATCTTCAGGCTGCAAACATGGGCCGCACGAAGCAAACGAAAACATATTACAGTGAATTGTGTTGAGGGTATTAGTAACGCGCGGCGCGGCACGAATCTTGTTCCGGAGGTATGCAACGGGGGCCCTTGTCACGGAGGTGTGTGACGGGAAAACAGCGCTTGACAAGTATCAGTAGCGGAAAGCTGAGCTCCAGCTCGAAAGTCGCAAATTCAGTGCAACATGCCCAGCTTCAAAACTTGCAACTATGCAACGTGAACCAAGCGACGGCCAAAAAGGGGTCGCTGGCCCGGGCTGGAACGAGGTGTGTACGACCAGGCAGAGCAAAGCGCACTGCAACTTGAAATTTGCAGCTCCTCAATGCAAGCCAAGCCACGGCAAAAAGGGGGTCGCTGGGCCGGGCTGGGATTCGAGGTCCGTGACGGCTACGTAGCGAGGCACGGCGCAGAAAGGGGGTTCTTTCTTGCGGCCTCTCCCGGGTAGTTGACTGCAAGCTGAGTCTTTAGCCAAAGCCTGCTCTGCAAAAGTCTGCTCTGCAGGCACTCATGGGAAATCACCGAGAGTTTGGGTATCGGGTTTTGTAAGGAGGTGTTTATGTGAGGTGTGTAACGAAGATACGTCTGTAACAAGGGGTGTGTAACGAGCCAGCGGTTCTTGTTACAGAGGTCTGCAACAAGGTCTGTCCGCCGAGGCTCTGTTACAGACCTCTCAAAACAAATCACTGCCATATTAGTCCAGTTGGTTTGGGACTCCTATTTGTCCTATCACAGCAGTTCTATCACGAGGCACTGCAGAATGACATGAAACATAGCTCACCACCCAAATAAACATGCACTGCAAGAACATCGCAAGTAAAGCCCGTGAACTTTCAGGGCCTGCCTCGCACTTGGGATGAACACCGTTCTCCTCCTTCTTGTAACTGCTGTAGCCGTTCGTGCTTCCTGAGCCGGGAGACTCGCAGGTCAGCCAGATTGGTACTCCTTTTTCAGCTGCCTAACAATGCGACTCGAGTTGACAAGACATCTGCAAGGTCTTGCAGCAATGCGTGACTCGCTCGACCCTTGTTTCCCACATGATCCATTTGGGGCAACCCTGAAACGTTTGCACCATCCACGGCCGCGTTTGCAAACAACTTCCGACCTTGTGGCAGCAGCGCCACAGTCTGGCTTCCCACGGCTGAAGCAGCGCTCAGGAAGCAGGAGCTGGTCCCGACGGCCAAGACGCAGGAGGCGTCCAGGGCCAAGGCTTTGAGATGCTCAGCCAGCACGGCCGGGTCTGCAGACATGGAAAACCTGCTGATCTCTGCGACTTCCGAAAATCGATCCGAAGAACTGCTGGTCGCAATGCCCACTTTCACGACAGAGCTGAGACTTTGGATGGACGTTAACGAGGCCTCTCGTAGCGCATCCTGCTCGAACAGGACGGCCGCGAAACTTGGCGGCTCAAGCAGCTGGCAGCGATGCCGGATGATCGGCGACTCAATGGCAGTCTTGGACTCAATGATTCGCAACTCCGGGGAAACTCGCTTCCCCGCCACGTGGAAGGCCTTCGAGGATGCCATGGTGTTCGAAAGAACCCCCTGCAGCACTGCAGCGGCCTTCTCAAGTGCCAAGGGAAGCTCCTGCGGTACTCGGTGCATCCAGGCCAGGATCCTCAGATTGCAACTCATCGCAGGATTAAACAATTGCACAAATGCATGCTGCAGAGTTGGGAAGCGGCGAAAAAGACAACTCCAATTCCGGCGCTTCCTTTGTAATCACACTTGCCAGTCCACTCCTGACACCACAGAGCCCAATAAATATGGCAGGGAGATGTGGCAGAGAAAACACGACAGCAAGAGAACCCCGCATCGCATGCCGGGAGTCATGGCCGCAGTCATGTCCCCAGTGCCAGTGAAGGGCCCCCCGTGAATCAGGGGCACCCGCAGCAGCCACTTTCCTGCGGCGCTCGAGAGTATCATGGCCACCTGCTCGCCGTCTTGGGTGGCCTCCAGGGCTGTGCATGGCTCTCAAACTGTGTTCCCCAAAGCTCACACATCAAACTCACGATGAAACAGATCAACAAGCATGTCAACTACCAAGTGGGCAGCGCTTTTTTTCTTGGAATCAAGGATTTATACAAAAAGGGAACTGCATCATGTCCGCGTAGGCAATTTAGCTGGGGGGCATTGGCGCGCGGAGGCATTGCGTAGGCATTTCGCGCACATCCTTGTATTTTTTCTTGCGTAGGCGCGCGCGTAGGCACTTCATGGAGTTGTTATGTATTGTCTGAAGCTTTATGTTTTACAATGCATATGGATGGGCATGGGTGTGTTCTGCAGTCTTCGCGTAGGCTCCGCGTAGGCCCCGCGTAGGCATTCGCGTAGGCTTTCAAGGCATTTTGGGTGCGTAGACCTTTTCTAGCAGTCAGATCCTTGGACAGATGTTGGATTCTCACTTGTACTGCATTTCTGATCTTAGAGCCGGAGCTGCCAAAACTGCACTTGCACTGAAAAGTTGCGATTTTCCAGCTGGAGCTGCCACAGTGCACTTCGACACTTGAACTCAACGTTTGCCCGCGCAGGTGGGCACCTGGAAGCTGACTTGTGATCGTGTAGGCAACCCTCGCAGGCCGCGTAGGCTTGCGTAGGCCTTCGCGTAGGCGCGCAAGTAGTGTATAGGCCCCGAACCACCCAGAAAACACTGCTCAAATGCTGATTCAGAGCCACGACAAGGGGGATCCCTGGGAAACCAAACATGTTATCACGCTTTGGCGGTGCATTCATCTTCCACATCATCTGCTTCTTCTACATCATCTGCATCTGTGTCAGACAACGATTGACTTGGCATTGCAAAGCTAGAGCTGGAAAAAAGCGGCGCGCAATTATCTTGCGTAGGCGTCCGCGTAGGCGCGACAAGAGACAAACGTGCGCGTGTAGGCACCCCTTGCAGTCGCGGAGGCGTTGCGTAGGCGCTCGCGTAGGCATGTGTGCAGTGTATAGGCCCCGAGCGCCAACAAAAAAACACTACCCAAGTGTTGTGCGCCTGGTGATCAGGAAACACTCAAGTGCTCTTGGACTGCCCAGTGCGGTCAAAATGCTCATTTTGGTGGCTCATTCCACTTGCCGGACCTCTGAATTCCATGAATAGGTTCTACCTTCACCTGTCAGCTCGGCCATGCCGTGTCTTTTCCTTCCGACCTTCCGACCTTCCGACCTTCCGACCTTCCGTCCACTGGGTCACCCGTCCCGTGCGTTCCGACCGGTGTCCATCCGACCTCCGGGACGTCCAGCGTGGTGAGCACCACAATCTCCGGGCCCTTGGCGTGCAGCAGGTCACAGGCCCCCACCGCCTCCTAAGGCGATCGAGGCCCGAGGGGGCCAGGCTTCGTCGGTTTTTTCCGTCGCCTTCGCCTTCTGTGGGTAGAGCCTTCGTGAGGAATCCGTTCTTCCCATATAATATTCACCTAAACATAACGCCAAGAGGGGGATGACAAGTCAATTAGTTCCGGGGGAGAAGATTACATTGAGGCAATTGTCGGGGAAGAGGATTATTTTCAGGCAGTCGGGACCCAGAATTTCCACGGTCACCCAGTTCAAAGGTTGGGATTAATCACCTATAGCCTTCAGCAATACCCGAATCGGTTCTGGTTTTGAGCATAAAAACGGGTCTCCTGAGTCACAATCAAAACCCGGTATTATTAAAATGGTCGTAATCCCAGAAACATGCTTCAAGAATTAAGAAGGCAGATATCCGCAACTATTTCTGGCTGGGACTGCCGCTTGCTAACCTTCATCAATCTCCGGGTTTTGAGCACGTGGCTCTCCTGGACGCTGGTGATCTTTCGCTCCGTGAGCAGCTCCGCCTCGAACTGGTTGGGCGTCAAGATGGACACGTGGCTCAGCACCTCCGAGCGGTACACCGCCACCAGCTCCTGGAGAAAAAAGCGGGGGTACCTTTTTCTTTGGTTGTTACTAGGCTGGAATTAGGACCCCAGCACAAAAATCTCTTTTTTGCCAGGTTGGTGGAAAACAAAGGGGACCCCAACAAAGCAAAACAAACAAAAATGGAAGCTAATTCTGGGGAAGGGTAGAGGGACACCAAAAGACAATCGGCCATTTTTGGGACACGCCCCAATTCTTTTGGTTGTGCGAGGGACGCCAAAAGACAATTTGCTATTTTTGGGACACGCCCCGATTTTTTGTTTTTGTTAGAGGGATGCCAAAAGACAATTTGCCATTTGTTGGACACGCCCCGATTTTGAGACACATCACACATGGACGTCATCGAAGCGGGGTTGCGGTTGGCTTCGTGAGAGCCAACTTTTTCAGGAACCAGCTACCGGAGGTGCTTTGCTACTAGTAACGTAGTTCTAATTCGTTGACTTCCTCTATTGAACATCCATCGCCAGTCAAACGTGTCTAGGCCCAACATGGGGGCGCTTTCGACACACTCCCACCTCAGGCACATACAAATGCCCGTTGTCCCCCATGACGGGGTCACACACGTAGCGGCAGTGCATCTTTTGCCTGAGCTCCAGGATCTCCCTCAAGCATGAGACGGTGCCGATGTAGCCAGTGAGCAAGTAGTGGTGGTCCAGGACCTTCACTGGTTCAAACTAAAATTATTTGGAGGAATCTTCTCTCTTTGCGATAAAAAGGAACCCGCAAGCAAGCCACAACATCCTTTTCATTAGGACCAGCTAGGCGACTTGAAACCAAGCCACCTAAAAAAAAACACGCATGTCCTCTTGCCACTCCTTTCTGGCCGTGAGCCGCGGTTTGTCAATGGACTCCCGGAAGTCACATGAGTCACACTCAAAACCCGAAAATTAAAAAAGGTCCCAGAACCGCGTAAGGAACTACAAGGCGGATCTCCGCAGCGGTTCCTGGCTGGGATGGTCCCTTACTTTCTTTCATCCGGGTGTTGAGGCAGTGGCTCACATGTCCATGGGTCAAAATTTCAAAATCCAACCACTAAAATACATTCTAAAACGGGTGAATTCACCTACCAACCAAACTGAGATCGGTACCAAAACAGTTTTGACCGCAGCAAAACATGCCATGCGCGGATTCACCGGACGCGCTTTTTCCCCGAGACGCCTGACGCCTCCCTCGCGCCTCGTTGGCCAGGAGTCCCTGCGCCAAAGTCTTCAAGTCCTCGCCGGAGAGGCGCTGGCCCGCCAGCGTGGGGTACCCCGTGTGGCAGCTGAACTGCACCGAGTTGATCACGTCAACCTCCCGTGGGCTTTGGTCAGAAGGCCCGTGGATCTGGTTTGTTTAAGGAGCCCAAAAAACCAAAAGCACAAAAATCCCTTCATGATGCGCACGTTTGTTTCTTTGCAGCGTGGTCAATGTGATAGGACATTCCGAGATTTGTTGACCAAAGCCAGGCTCGTTTGTGTGACCATCGACCTCGAAGCCCAGCAGTTGCAGCGGGAAGACTGCCGCGCGATTCCCCACGTATCCGTGGACCACGTGCGACTGCACACTGAGCACCCGAGGGGTGTCGGCCATGGCACACGGGCGCCAAGGTGCCGTGGGCGGGTGGTTGAGCCAGCTAAGCGAGTACCACAAGACACAAAACCGGGTCTTTTGTCCAGTCCCGAATGTTCTCTTTCTCACTTAGTGTGGGCACAACTTTGTTGATGTTCTTGTCTGATGTAGCCCTCCATTTTCAGACTTTGTTGCAAAGTCAGAGGTTTAATAATAATGGCTTCACCTCCCCCCCCATGTGCTCCCCAACAAAGAGGCATATTCTACAGAGTCTCGTTTCCTTCACCAGCCAGAGTGTAGAGTGTAGCGGTGCTCTATCCCATCCAAGCCTGGCCTGTAACCCCCAAGATGCATACAGGAACCTCTGTTTGGGGGTGCCCTTTTGAGGGTCATCTTCATTTTTTGGGGGGGCAGCTGAGCCTTCTTTCAGCTTTCCGGCCGAAGCCTGCTGCTTGGTCACCCGATGGGCGCATCCTGTGCCCTGCTTCCGCTGCGACTCCGGCGCCTGAGGAGACGAGGAGACGGGGGGGGGGGGGTGGATGGGTTAGCGGCTTGGGCCCTTTCACAGGGTCCATGCTGATCGATTGAGTCAAGTGCTCATGGATATCATCCAAATGTTCATTTCGTTGGGGGAAAAAAACGCGCTTGGGGCACAGTTAGTTTTGTGCGTTGTTTGTTTGGCGCCGCAGATACGGCTACATGAGGCTGAACATGACGAACGAAAGGGCATCTTTCAAAACAAGATGGGTATGTATGGGGTGGAAATCTTACAGGGGGTTCCCTACATTTCGAATCCAAATCATGATTGTACAGGGGGTTCCCTATATTTCCGATCTAAATATTTTTTTTTTATTTTTTTTACGGTGGTTTCCCTACATTTCCAGTCTGAAATCTTGATCTTGCAGGGGGTTCCCTATATTTCCAATTTAACATCATGTTTTTACGGTGGTTTCCCTACATTTCCAGTCTGAAATCTTGATCTCGCAGGGGGTTCCCTATATGTCCAATTGAGCCGTGCCAAATACTCTTGTATAAAAAGCGGTCCTATAAACTTGCTTTCGCGGACCCTTTCGCGATGCTTTCGCGACCCCATGTTTTGCTTTCGCGGGCTTTGGTTTCCTTAGAATTGCTTTCGCGACGCTTTCGCGGCGGACCGTCACACAGCATGCAGGCTTTCGCGGGTCTTTCGCGGCGGGACCTTCTTTGGCTACTTTCGCGATAAGCTTTCGCAAGCTTTCGCGGCCTGCGTTTTGGGCTTCGCGGGGATTCTATAGGACACCCCCCTTTACTACTTTGTATTGTCAGGGTTTATGGCGCTGCTGAATTTAAAATCATGTTTTCACGGTGGTTTCCCTACATTTCCAGTCTGAAATCTTGATCTTGCAGGGGGTTCCCTATATGTCCAATCTAAAATCATGTTTTTACGGTGGTTTCCCTACATTTCCAGTCTGAAATCTCGATCTTGCAGGGGGTTCCCTATATGTCCAATCTAAAATCATGTTTTTACTGTGGTTTCCCTACATTTCCAGTCTGAAATGTTGATCTTGCAGGGGGTTCCCTATATTTCCAATCTAAATAAGTTGTTTTTTACGGTGGTTTCCCTACATTTCCAGTCTGAAATCTTGATCTTGCAGGGGGTTCCCTATATGTCCAATCTAAAATCATGTTTTTACTATGGTTTCCCTACATTTCCAGTCTGAAATCTTGATCTTGCAGGGGGTTCCCTATATGTCCAATTTCCAATCATGCTTTTACGGTGGTTTCCCTACATTTCCAGTCTGAAATCTTGATCTTGCAGGGGGTTCCCTATATGTCCAATCTAAAATCATGTTTTTACGGTGGTTGCCCTACATTTCCAGTCTGAAATCTTGATCTTGCAGGGGGTTCCCTATATGTCCAATCTAAAATCATGTTTTTACTGTGGTTTCCCTACATTTCCAGTCTGAAATCTTGATCCTGCAGGGGGTTCCCTATATTTCCAATCTAAAATCATGTTTTCACTGTGGTTTCCCTACATTTCCAGTCTGAAATCTTGATCTTGCAGGGGGCTCCCTATATTTCCAATCTAAAATCATGTTTTTACGGTGATTTCCCTACATTGCCAGTTGTTCCCTATATGTCCAATCTAAAATCATGTTTTTACGGTGGTTTCCCTACATTTCCAGTCTGAAATCTTGATCTTGCAGGGGGTTCCCTATATATGTCCAATCTAAAATCATGTTTTTACGGTGGTTTCCCTACATTTCCAGTCTGAAATCTTGATCTTGCAGGGGGTTCCCTGTATGTCCAATCTAAAATGATGTTTTTACGGTGGTTTCCCTACATTTCCAGTCTGAAATGTTGATCTTGCAGGGGGGTCCCTATATGTCCAATCTAAAATCATGTTTTTACTGTGGTTTCCCTACATTTCCAGTCTGAAATCTTGATCTTGCAGGGGGTTCCCATATGTCCAATCTAAAATCATGTTTTTACGGTGGTTTCCCTACATTTCCAGTCTGAAATCTTGATCTTGCAGGGGGTTCCCTATATGTCCAATCTAAGATCATGTTTTTACGGTAGTTTCCCTACATTTCCAGTCTGAAATCTTGATCTTGCAGGGGGTTCCCTATATGTCCAATCGAAAATCATGTTTTTTTTTTTTTTTTTTTTTTTTTTTTTTTACGGTGGTTGCCCTACATTTCCAGTCTGAAATCTTGATCTTGACAGGGGGTTGGTTCCCTATATGTCCAATCTAAAATCATGTTTTTAGGGTGGTTTTCCTACATTTCCAGTCTGAAATCTTGATGCAGGGGGTTGGTTCCCTATATTTCCAATCTAAAATCATGTTTTTACGGTGGTTTCCCTACATTTCCAGTCTGAAATCTCTTGATCTTACAGGGGGTTCCCTATGTTTCCAATCTAAATAAGTTTTTTTACGGTGGTTTCCCTACATTTCCAGTCTGAAATCTTGATCTTGCAGGGGGTTCCCTATATGTCCAATCTAAAATCATGTTTTTTACGGTGGTTTCCCTACATTTCCATTCTGAACTCTTGATCTTGCAGGGGGTTCCCTATATGTCCATTCTAAAATCATGTTTTCACGGTGGTTTCCCTACATTTCCAGTCTGAAATCTTGATCTTGCAGGGGGTTCCCTTATGTCCAATCTAAAATCATGTTTTTACGGTGGTTTCCCTGCATTTCCAGTCTGAAATCTTGATCTTGCAGGGGGTTCCCTATATGTCCAATCTAAAATCATGTTTTTACGGTGGTTTCCCTACATTTCCAGTCTGAAATCTTGATCTTGCAGGGGGTTCCCTATATGTCCAATCTAAAATCATGTTTTTACTGTGGTTTCCCTACATTTCCAGTTTGAAATCTTGATCTTGCAGGGGGTTCCCTATATGTCCAATCTAAAATCATGTTTTCACGGTGGTTTCCCTACATTTCCAGTCTGGAATCTTGATCTTGCAGAAGGTTCCTTATATGTCCAATCTAAAATCATGTTTTTTACGGTGGTTTCCCTACATTTCCAGTCTGAAATCTTGATCTTGCAGGGGGTTCCCTTATGTCCAATCTAAAATCATGTTTTTACGGTGGTTTCCCTACATTTCCAGTCTGAAATCTTGCTCTTGCAGGGTGTTCCCTATATGTCCAATCTAAAATCATGTTTTTTACGGTTGTTTCCCTACATTTTCAGTCTGGAATCTTGATCTTGCAGCGGGTTCCTTCAATCTAAAATCATGTTTTTACGGTGGTTTCCCTACATTTCCAGTCTGAAATCTTGATCTTGCAGCGGGTTCCCTATATGTCCAATCTAAAATCATGATTTTGCAGCGGGGGCCCTTGCAAAGGGACCCTCGGGTGAGCCTCATGGCGGAGTGAGGGTGACAGAAGCTGAACATGGGCGACTTCAGTGGCCCAAACATATGGCTGTGGGTCAAAACCAATGGGATCCCATTTTGGGGTAGGTGCACCACCCAATTAGTCTATTTTAGTGTGGATTGGGATGTTCACTAGGGGTACGGGCTTTTGACCTGTGGCCATATGTTGGCAGCTCAAACAACAAAGCTGTGAGGCGTTCGTGGATGATATCAACTCCTTTTATTCTGAGCACAGCTCGCGTTGTCAAACTCTTGCCGACACAGCTGGACGAAATCTGGTCGTTACCCATTCAGTAACATGGAACCTGATCGGGGGGGGTCTTTGGAGGGAATTCAAGGGACCCTGTCAGGTTCCATGGGGCGGCTGGGGTGGGGGAGGGGGGGGGGAACTTTTATCGATGTCTTGCATTCTTTCATCATGCGCCCGGCTCCACGGCAACAGAGAGCTGAGACGCGGGCCATTAGGCGAGTTCCCAGCATGCTCATGAGGACCTGCGGCTGTGCTGGAAAAAGCGTGGCTTGTGTATCCGTATAATTTTGAATAACTTTTGGTTTGGGTGTACTTCTTCTGTCGTTTTGGACTTTGGATGGTGCCACCCGCTTCACTCCGTTGTTGTTCACGCTTTGTGGTCCGAACTGCCTGAGATTGGGTTCGTCCCCCAAAATGGTCAACCCAAAAACGTCCCCTTCAAAAACGACACACCCATCATATGGCTGTGGCTTTCATAAACATGGTACCAACATGCCACCTTGGTATAAGGGGAACCAAAGACTAAGGCCTGCGTAACCACCAGTTGAGTCGCAATCAAAACCTGGTGATAACCTGGTGCTAAAATGGTCGTAATCCCAGAACCATGTACAGGATTAAGAAGGCGGATATCCGCAGCTATTTATGGCAAGGGGATCTTCCCTTACTAACCGCATCATCAATTTGCGGGTTTTGATTGCGGCTCACCTGCCATTTCCATGGCCATGGGTCAAAGTCCAAATCGGTTACCCCCCAGTGAACATCCGATTCAATCCTTTGCCAATAACCTAAAATCTACCCGGATCGGGTGAGCACGTGGCTCGGTTTGCCACAGCCTTTGCCGTCAAGGCTGCCTGGTGGTCCTCAGGCGCTAAGCGGGCCGCTTCCATCAGCTTGGACCGGTTCGCCTGAACGCGAAGGAGGGCTCGGGGCTGAGGCCTGGGCTGACTTTTGACCAACCAAGTGGGGTCAACTGCCTAACTGGACACTTGAGAAAATCAATGAATTGTTTGACTGAACCTCCCAAAGTGCAAGTGGGGGCCCCAACTTAAAACTTAAGAGAATCAAAGAACCATCTTGCAGAGATGCCTTTGCCATGCGATCGGCGACCCCCCCGCCTCTGGGATGTTGGCCACACAGGCCTAGGTCTGGCAATCATCTTCTCCGTAGCGAGCACCGAATCAAACAAACCACGTCTTCTCCTTTCTGAATGCCCCTATCCCCCCCCCCACCCCCCTCCCTACCCCCCCCCCCAACCTACCCCCCCCCCAACCCCTTCCCTACCCCCCCCTACCCTCCCCCTACGCCCCCACCCCCCCAACCCCCACCCCCCCAACCCCCAACCCCCCTCCCCCCCCCACCCAACAAACCACGTCTTCTCCGTTCTGCATGCGCTTCATCAGGCTGTGAACCAGGGCAGCGGCAAAGTAAAGCATCAGCAGGCGCAGCTTCATCTCACTAGGAAGCTCTGGTCGGTCGGTGAGGATCCTGAAATGGCCATGGGCCAAAATCCAAATCGTCCCCCAGTGAACATCCCAATCCAACCGCTAAAATAGACTAAAATGGGCGGTGCACCTCTACCAAAATGGAACATTGGTTTTGACCCACAGCCAAATGAACAAAGCTGCGGCAACCGTGTTGACGCAAACAGCGGCAAAAGTGCAAAAACCTGCCTCTGCAGGGTCGTCTGCAGGTTTGTAATCTTTACATCTTTGCCATTCTTGTCGATGCCACAGGCAATGTCCTCTACAGGACTACCAAAGCCAGGTGGCCGGCAATACACAAAGACGTGTCCTGCTCGACAAGACCTAGATGAAGCGGGTCTAGGATCTGCTCTTGGCCAAGGCGCGCATGAATTTGCCTTGGCTTGCACAAAAGTAGTGTTTTGACTCAAGGAAATGAGCTACTGGTACAGGAAAATCTACACCACTTTATCCACAACTCTACGTTCCAGTAAATTGTCCTGCAAATGCTTCTTATGGATCTCTTAGATTGAATCATCCATGGTGCTTGGCAACTTCTCCGAATGCTGAGCGCGCATGTCTCTCGATGCAGTCTGCCAGCTGTGCGTTGCCAGGGGGCGGGCTTGATGATGCTCAGATGCAGGGACATGCGATCCACAGCATCCCGCCTCGAGATCTCAGCATTGGATCAGTGACTGAGACATTATGCTGTTGCTTGACACGAAACCGACCTTTGCATAATGCAGCCTGAAATCTAGCCCTGTCTACCTGCTATCCGAAGACTGACTAGGCGAGCTGCATTTCAGGTGCAGAGCGCAGTTGCTCGAGCATGACCTTGGAGACGGAAAGGAGCAGCACGTTAGAGCCGCCTTTGGTGCTAATTACTCTGCAAATGTGCGAAGCAAACACACGTGCAAGTAGTGGCTATCAATTCAATGAGGTATGAATTTCAGTGGGGGACCATTTGGGAGGGTATGTGGCAGCACGAAGCTTGTTGTGGAGGAATGCGGAGGGTCATTGTAACATAGGCACACAAAGAAAAAGCAGAGCTTGATACGTCGGCAGCTCCAGCTTTAAAGTTGCATCTTTTCAGTTTGAGAGTGCTTGTAGCACAATTTATTAAAGAACAACAAAGTGCATTTCCGAAGCTTCAGCTCGCATGTCGCAACTATTCTGTACAAGCGCATGCAGCTTAAGCTCCAAAGTTGCAACTATTCAGCAACCGGGTGGCGGCAAAAGAAGTGTCGCTGGTCAGGGCTGGGTTGGGTATGTAAGTAAAACCAGTGAGGTCGGTATGTAACGAGGTATAGAGCGGAAGGAGGATGCTTTCTTCCAGCCCCTCCCTACTACCTGTTCCAAGCTTTTTTGTGAAGGGCAAGCTTTCTGCAAGTTGGCTCTCTACAGGTATGTCCAGCAGAAACATGCTCTGCAAAAGTCTGCTCTGCAGGCACTCCTGGAAAATCACTCGTCACGAAGGTATGCAACGAGCCAGCAGATCTAGTTGCATAGGGCCGTATTAACGGAGTATGTAACGAATGTTCGCCGGTTACAGACCTCTCTTTGGGGGACATTATCGTTGCGCGTGTTTTTGCACACCGCTTCCTTTTTTGCTTGGCAGCTCCAGCTCGTGAAGTTGCCAGTTTTCGAGCGCAGTACGCAAAGTGCGTTTTACTGTAGCAGCAGCTCCAGCTCAAACATCGAAACTTTTCCTGACCAGCGCAGCACGCAAAGTATACTTTCGCAACTCAACATCGAAAATCGCACGTGCTCAGGACACGTGCAGTACGCAACACATTTCCAGCTGGCCTAAGACAGGTCAAAAACCAGGTTGGGGTTGCCACAACAGGGTCGCCAAATCTGGTCACACGTGAGTCAAAATCAAAACCCGGTATGTAAATGGTCTACCCTAACCATGTCTGTAAAGAATTTTCAGAAAAGCGACCGCAACCATTTACGACCGGGATTGTCCCTTGGGCTCCAGGCTTTGGTGCTCATGCCATTGCCACCCCGAGCATTCTGGCCTTAGATCCAAACTCGAACCAACAAATCACCTGCAAATTGGGCGCGCTTTTTGAGGGTGCCATTTTGATGGTTTAAAGCTTAAGCGAAATTGGGTGGGCTTTTGTGGTGTATGTGGTTTAAGGAGAAAATACAAGGACAACCAACATGTCGGGGGTCCCCTGCTGCAGGCACTACGTTGCCACAATTTCCAAGCACAGCATCTGCACAATGAGCGCCCAACGCTTCACTTCATCCACCTGTCATCAGTGCGCTGGTTGCCACATGTCACTGCATCCAAGTGCTGCTTGCGCGCCTTGGCTTCAACGTGCTCTCGGGCCGCCTCCAAGTGCATGTATCTCAACTCCTGCAAAACACACCGACTTCCACGCACTGGACTGGCGTTGCTGTTGACCCCTCTGCAAAACAGTTTTTTTCACTTTTTGTGGGTTCAATGGAAAAACCCTTGATGTCCGAAAAAGCTCAAGTCTAAAGATCCAGCCCAAGAGCAGTCAAGCTGGAAGGCCTGTAAGTGTCAATGCCGTTTCAATTCTCCTCCCACAAAGGGTCGGACAGTAGCACTTCTCGTGTCTCACCTGACGCGTTGCCACATGCCACTGGGGCCCTCACAGGTACTCAGCGGCATGCAGACCAAACAAGCATTGGTGCCTGAGGTCTCCATTGTGACGATGTTGCGGTCAGCATCCAACATGTTGCCATCCAGCAAGTCGAAAACGCATGCCTGATACGCCAGACCCTTTGCAGAACTACAAACATACACGCACGCATACAAATACACTCAGATGCCCAATGGCCATTGGAAAGAAAAGGACATCCTTTTTTGGTTGGTTAACTTTAAAGGGGAACCCTTCCCCCAAAAAAGAGAAAAACACGGGCACCATTGGGCAACTGGGCAACTGCTGCATTTGGTTTATGCGTCACCAACCCACGTCGTCACGTAGAGTTTTGCCTCATAGGAGTACTCATGGACCAGCGCTGCTGCCATGTCCAGGGAGCGATCAAGAATGATCAGCTGGCCTGAGCTCATGGACCTCCAAGACCCATGGGGGGACCCAGGGGGCTATCACCTCCCTCAAGATCCCCCTCTTTCGCCCCCCTTGGTCCACAAAAAGCCAATCAAACATGCCCCTGTTGGATCTTTTTGGATCATAGAGTCGAATGAGGCAAGATTAAAAGCATGTGCTGCGGCCCCAGCAGGGCTGGCTTGGCAGGCTTGGTTGTTTGTGCCTCTTCGCCGCACGAGCATGACCGCGTGGTTTTCACATGTAGAGATCCACGCCCTAAAAAGCGACAGTCATTGCAACTGGTAACCTGGTAGCAAGCTGCTTTTTTCCGAGAAACCGAGGCACCTGCATGTTGAGCTCACGGAGCACCCGGTCTGCGACAGTGTGACCTCACTGCGACATGGAGTCCGAGCCCATTTTGCGTCACTAAGGAGGCCGCAAAGGTCTGACTGGCAGCGGATGATCGGCGACGTGGTCTAGAGCGCCGGGAATGGTCGCGATGTGGAAATGGCATGCATGCCAGCAGTTTAGCTGGCACCAAGCTTGCCGACGCAAACAAGCCATACACATACCAACAAAAGCAGGCAACTTCTGCCTGCAGGCATCGGCAAACATCAGTCAACTTCTGGACAATGTCTGACAACATCTGCGGGTCGGGCCTTAGTCATTGGTCAGCAAATTTGCCGATGAGGGTCCCTGACACTGTGCATCTGGCACTGGAAAAAGGCCAGTGATAGCCTCTGGCATGTCAAAGTGGAAGCCTCGATCCTGTCACGTCTTCACACTCTCGCGAACCCGCCGTCTCTGTGCTGGCCTGTACAAGCAAAAAGCTCAGAGGTACTTCCACAAATGATCTAACCTAAGCCACACCAATCACGAACCACAAGCAACACCCATGAACTGCACTTTGACAGGTTCCCCATGTGGAAGCATGGCTAAGCTGCTGGCTCGGCCTGCTAAATGAGTTGCCTGGCGCTGCAATCGCACTGCCAACCAGACCAGGGACCCAAGCCAGGCCTCCGTCAATCTGGACAGAAGGCTCTGTTCCACCTGCTGGGTGAAGCAAAAGTGGACCTCGCCGCATGGATCCGAAAAACAGAAGAAGAACAAAACAAAAGGCGAACCCTGGGACCAACCTGCGACCCTGGCCTGGCGGTGCTGCGGCGCAGCCGCCGACTTGAAGTCGGCGAGGATCAGGTCCAAGGTGGCCGGAAGAGGCCTGGCGAGCCGGCGACGGCTGCAGCTGTCCAAGCTGAGCCTGTACAGTGCGAGATGTGGCTGTGGGTCAAAAATAGAAATGGTAACCCCAAAATGGGTTGTCCTGCCAAATAGATCCAAGGACTAAAACCTGCGGTCCGATTCCTGGTACTTTAATTTTGACCAATACCCATGTGGATGAGCTTATGCTTCCAGAGCCATCTCTGGTCGTTACAGAGATTAACAAAAATGGTTCAGTCAACTTCTCAGGCAAGGGCAGGTGCACCGGGCAATTCTTGCTTCTCGCGCCTCAAGAAGTACAGGGCATCCAAGCCAGGCCTTGGTCTGCCGCAATAAAGCTCCACAGCGCAACAGGCTGCTCAAAGCGAAACATTAAGCACCTTTGGCAGCTGCAACACATGCTCTGCTCCCATGAAAGAGGGTATGCTCCCCATCTAGTTCAGAATGCCCATTTTCTGCAGGGCGTGGCTCGCAAGCTCATTTCAACTTCAACATTTGGGAGATCGTGCGCCCTTGGGGTTGTACCCCAAATTAGTAGACCCTCTTCACACCCCTTTTTGACGATATACCAGTTCTCACTACCAACATAGGGTCCAGGCGGCTTGCAAGGAGCCTTGAAGGGTACCAAACATAGACATATCTCACAAGGCACGGCCTTCGCTTGCACCAAGCTCTTTCTTTTCGATTGGGCGAAACGGCATCGACTCCGAGAATATGGGAGGTGCCGCCCCACATCTGGCCAACATCCTCCAAGAAGCCAACATGATATCAACACAGCACATATATATATATATAATACATACATATATATATAGTATATTAATAATATAGAGAGAGAGAGAGAGAGAGCACCTGCAACGATTGCACCAAAGTGGCGAACCAACTATCCTCGAACATTCAGCTCGCGCCCAGTTGGGAGTCTCCTTAAAGGTCGGATCGAGGCTTCGGCAAGGGCTCCCTGTCTTCCTCCAGCAACTCCACGCTGGTGACGCCCTGAGAGGCGCCCCAAAGCCTTGAGAGGGTGCTCAACAGACCATCGGGGAAGGGGCTTCCCCGAAAGAAGGTATGGCACCATGGGCATCGTGCAATACTTCTTGGCGAAACATAAGCTGCACCAACCCTCAAACCACTTCACTACGGGTCTGGCAGGCAGGCTCATGGCGTCCACGAGAGCACTCTTGACGCTTAGTTACACTTGGTGTCATGCACAGCAAGCTGGCTCATCCATTCCCCATTCCTCTAGTCAGGACCGGTTCATGTCATTTGGAAGCCTGCATTCTCTGAGAAATGCATGACGCCCATGTCGACGTGAACTATCTTGCATCTTCTGTTTGTGGGCTGCAAAAAGGCAACATGCCTGGCTGGCTGGCTGGCTGTATTTGAGGCTTTCCCTCGCGGCCACGCCACACTAGTTGGCTTAGGCTCGCCTATCCTGAAAGAAAGGTTAGAACTTGATAAGACCAGTCGATCTTCCGAAGTGCATTCCGCCGGCAGCATGAATGAGACAGCATTTTAAACGATTGTCTTCAGCAGGTATGAAGAAGGCTGCACAGGAACAAACACATTGGCACGGTGGATCAACACAAGTTCAGGCCATGTGCGCCTCGGTGTGCAGATCACCCATGCGCAGGAATGAGTTGATGACCTGCATCTAACGGCCAGAACAGTTCTTGCGTGTTTAAACAAATGCAACGAAACAGTAATAATAATAATAATAATAATAATAATAATAATAATAATAATAATAATAATAATAATAATAATAATAATAATAAATAATAAAAAATAAAAAAAACAAATGACATGTCGTATGCTCTGCGAACGTTGCCCCTTGTTTGGATCGCCCAGGCTCACCCGGAGAGTAGCTGCATCCACCACCATCTGAAATCGATCGAGGCCTGGGCAATCCCAAAGTTGAACATGAGCCTTTCATGCTGTGCCTTTTTTTCCGGCCTGGAATCAGGAAGCCACTCAATCTGGAAACATATCGTTGCCTTCTGCGAGTCTGACCTCCCTCTACTGTATTCAAATGGCTGTGGGTCAAAAATAGGTACCCTAAATGGAGCCCTGGTAAATGGAACCAAGGACTAAAACCTGCGGTCCCCTGGTGGTTTAATTTTGACCAATACCCAAATGACCAAAGGACTTCCATCATTGCCATCAGCACATTGCGCCAGGATCGCTGCCATCTCCAACGGACTTCTGAACTCTCGGAAGCACCACCTCCAGCACCAGCTCTCTGCAGGTGCGCCTGCACTTCATTCTTTCCCCGCTAAATGGAAGGGCATGGGCAAACATAAAAATAAAGGGAGCCCCGAAAAAGAACAAATGACAAACCACAACTCCCAAGCCTGAAAAAAGCAACCCCCCGGTAAGAGATCTTCACGGGTGAGCTCCAGAATGGCAGGGACTTGTTGCGGACCCGCCTCAGTGACATCTGTCCCTTGGGGAGAGATGGGCCGGTCCTGAAAGGCGGGAGCTGTGCATCTAAAGGCGATCCTGGGTGAAGGCAATGGTTGCCTTTAGCTCCATGTGCTCCCGGGCAAACGATGCCCTTAGCTGTGTTTTGCTTGTCAATGTCTCTTGTTGCCAGCTGCTGCTTACTCTTCAACTCTTGCAAGGTGTCGTGTTCAGCATCCGAACATCAGCAATGGGATGTTGACAGAATCAGCTGCTGGCTACTAGCATTGCTGAGATCACGGTTCCCGGAGCAGAAACAAATCATACGATGCCAGTGAGTTTGCGCTTGTCCATGCCCGTGTGCAGGTCCATGAGCTTCTGTAGCTTCCAAACCGTCGAGAGGACTTGACAAGAAACAAGTAGAACAAGCTTTGCACCAACCCCCTCCCCTGCTTGCCATGGAAGCAAGTGGGATGCTTGTTCACTCCGCGCTTTTGCCGGTCAGGTCCCAAACCAGGCGTACTACCCTTGGCAGTCTGCTAGCTGGCGATTCGCAGATCGCTTTGGACTGGCACTAAGCCGCCGGCAACTGGACAAACGGCAGGGGAAAGGCCGATATTATCGTGCCTCTATGCCCGCTGACATTACCTTCGGGTCCGTTGCAAGACCCAGCTCAAAAGAGCAACGGCGTCGCCGTGTGAAACCCCTCAACTCCGGGAACCCGCCCGGAGTAAGCAACGCAAGCATTGCCAAGCCGGGATGGAAGCAAAGTTCCGTGGCACAAGCGGAGTTTTCTCCAGGCCTTGTGCTCTAACTGGCTTCAAAGATTCAGCCCTGTGCACCCGGTGAGGTCCTGGGCCAAATCAACATCCACGAGTCACTGAGGCACGTGCAGGGACACTTCCAAAGCCCTTTCTCCATTGACCACCCGGCCGACAGATTTGATTTACCCGGGACCGACCTAAATGCAATGGGATGAGAGGGAGCATCAAGCGCGGCGCCTCTCAAGCTCTGGTGGTGTAGGGCGACCTGTCCAAGCTGGAGATGTGAACTGAGTCATAATTAACACCTGGTACAAAAAAGGTGCACCCAGAACCATGTAAAGAACTAAGCAGGCGGATATCCGGTCCGCAGCTAATTATGGCAAGGGGGTCGTCCCTCACTGACCGGATCCTCAATCATGGGGTTTTGAGCAAGTGGCTCAACTGGCATAAAAGGGGCCAAAGGCAAAGGTTGCCAAATAATGCACAATACACTTAAACAAGGGTCGAATTCCATTTGGAAAATCCGAAGGTTGTTTAAACATACACCTCTCCTTTTGTCTCAATCCGGCGGGCACACCCGTTTCTGCGCGGCGTGGACTGGCCGCTGCGTCTGCCACTGGCCTCAGGCCACTCCGGTGACAAAAGAACATGCCAGGAGAAACATGGCCATGGGTCAAAACCCAAATTGTTCCCCCAAATAAACATCAACCAATCCAACCACTAAAATAGGCTCTAAAATGGGTGGTGAACTCACCGAAACCCCCAAAATGGTACCAAAACGGTTTTGACCTGCAGCCACATCACAACATCGCCACAACAGCAGCGCTTCGCTGTAGGATTTGAGGCGAGAGTTGCTCGAGTTGAGCAGCAAAGGCTCTGACAGAACCACCTCTTCTGGCAGAGTCCAAGGGCGGTAGGTTCTGCGCAGCCGGGCTGCTGACAGGAAACAACGGTGTCCCCTGTCCACGTATCAAACGTTGCTCTTGGGTGATGTACACGTCTTGTGAATCTGCAAAGTTGAGTTGATCACTACAATCCTAATCTGAAATCCGAACTCCTCAAGTGGAGACCGTGAAATCAAACAAATCTCAGGGACCCACTCGGAATGGTTCTGTCAACGCCATTCCCAAACGCAATCCTTCTCAATGGCGGGTCTCTGTGAGGTGCCTCTGAAAAGCACGAAAGTGAAGGACCTGTCATTCGGGTCCGCGTCACAGGGGGACCCCCAAAATGAAGTGTTCCTTTAGGGTTCCTCACAACAAGAACCCCGAGCGTGGTTCTACATCATTGTGCGGTTGCAAGACACTAACAAGTTCCTTTTGCCAGGGTCTACGCGGGGCTTCAGCAGCAACTTGTGCGAGAGGTGTCGACATAGCAAACGCATATGCGGCGCTTACGCGGATTGAGGAATCTCGTGGCAGGTTGCCTGTCGTGTGTGTTGTGCTTGCACGAACACACGGAAACCACACAAGTGGAGCTTGGCAACGTGTGTTTCCGCTTAAAACCTTTCCCCGACTGGGCAAAATTGATACAACCGCGACCCAGGCACACATGTTCAAATCCATACTTCCTCACAAGTGACCATGGGTCAAAACCCCGTACCCCCCGTGAACATCCCAATCCCCACTAAAATCGGTTCTAAAATGGGTGGTGCGCCTATCCCAAAATGGGATCCCATTGGTTTTGAACCATAGCCAAGCACTTTGTGTTTTCAACGGGGACATTGGAACGCTGCTCACCAGAGACCATCCAACGACACAGCCTGCGAGCCCTCCAGCTCCAGCGCTGGAGCCTTCGCTTCGAACACACCGTCATGGATGGGTGTTTCTGTTTTAGGGGACCTCCAAAACGTTGCTCCTGTGGGTTTCCCGTTGAAACCACCCAAAAAGCGGGTACCCCCAAAATGACCCACCGGCAAGAAGTCCTATCTTGGTATTGGGCTGGATGGCTCAAGCAGCCACTTTAGCATCTTGCAAAGGACAAGTTGCGCATGCCACAAACTAAAAAAAACAAACAAGCCACTGACCTGCTTCACCACAGGGCCCAAAATATGCTGGCACAAAGTTGTCACTGAATCTAGGTTGTTAGAGCATACTCAGGACAGGAAAGACGCATCTGGATGTGCCCGTACGAGCGCACTTTTCCCGGAAGCTGTTCATTCGGAGACTTCGTCGAGCTGCGCATTTGAATAGCCTAAAAGAGCTTTTGGACTATGGCAAGAAAGCGTGTTTGATGTTTGGACTCAACAACACTTCGGCTCTTGCTGTCACCTCCTCTTTCGAGAAGGTATCAAGAGGCCATTGTTCTCTGTGTGTGTTGTTCATAAGGTTTGGGCTGCGCTCAAAGGACGCCACAACGTGCTCCTTCACATGGCCGGAATTACGCAACGAACGGGCCTACTCGCGGGCCGCAGCGAAAACATGTTTGTAGCGCTCAAAACCCATCAACCCTTGCTCGAACAATTTGGCTGAACGGGCTAGGCCCTTCCTGTACACCTAAGGAACTCCTTGCTTAAGCGGCCAAGGGTCTTAGACGCTGCAAATCAATGGGCTTTCGCCGCGCTTCTGGGGTTTACTCTAACCCTGCAAATTGTATCAATCACACAGCGACTCGATTCAACGGCCATGCTTCGTATCCCGAAAATATATCTTGGCACCGGAATTTAGAGTTTGCGAGTGACACTAGTTGAAAGGGATCTCCTTCAAACAAAAAATCATGCGGGTCCGACTCCTAAGCCCGGTCAATCTGCAAGCACAAAGCTGAGAGACCTCGCCTTGGCTTTGGAGGCAGCTTTCGGCTTGCCACCCTGATAGCTGTGCAATTGGAAGACTCACGATCAGTCGTCGAGTCCAATTGCCCTGGATGCAATCAGGATCTAAATATCGGGTCCGGCACATAAGAAGCAGCACTAGTGCCCGGCCATCCAGTTTGTGACTTACGTCATGTGAGTTATACTCGATGCCCTTCGACTCAAGCACTGGCCTTGGTCTTCTGCAGCTGCCTAACCTTCTGCATAATGATCCGGAGCTGAGCCTTAAGCGGACTTGGCCGTGCCAACAAAACGCGGTCAACACTGACATGACCCCAAGCCAACATCAACCAACATCTGATGAATGCGCAAAGACAAGAACCGAAAACTATTCTGGAGCCCCAATTTGGCCTTTCAATGTGTCGCCTGAAACATGACTTGGCTTAACTAATGCATGGGAACCTGACTTGTGTGCTAGCAATTGCTTCGTCCTGTCAGTCATCTTTGACGAAGGACGTGTGGCAGCGCTGGAGCTCGGGGCATGGCATCCTTTTCCTCATACATCCTGTCTTTGGATTGGAGGCTGCGCTCCAAGTTGACCTGAATCTACGCGAGATGACACAAAAAACAGACGGGTCAATTCTTCAAAAGCCCCATGTCCAAAGAAGAACAACGACCCTGAAACTCCGCAGACTCGTCGACACGCCTCATAGCTCCATGGTGCCATGATAAGCTGAGGAGTGGACATTGTCCTTCCTCATGGTTTCAACCACCTGAGGCGCGTTTGTCGGTTAGGTCTCACTCGGCATGCTTCGATTGAGCGAGAGAGCCATCATGAGCTTCTGCATCCTCTCCATGAGCTTGAGATTCTTCTGCCTCAGCGCCCGTGTTGATCTGCTGAATGGTGTGAACAAGAACAAGGCCATGGGTCAAAATCCAAAATCCAAATCGTACCCCCAGTGAACATCAACCAATCCAACCACTAAAATAGGCTCTAAAATGGGTGGTGCACCTACCCCAAAATGGGATCCCATTGGTTTTGACCCACAGCCACAACACAACACAAACAATGGGAAGCGCCGCTTCGCACACCCATAGCTGCAGAAGAACTGCACAATAGCCAGCTTGAAGCCATGTGCACTTGACAGCCAAGGCAACGGCTCGAGTCTGTCTCGCATCAACTTCTCCTCGGATTTGGTATGTCTCGCATAAACACTTCCCGTGTCGTCTTGCCCGAACCTTGTGGAGCTCGTAGTGCGAGACGATGAGCGCCTTGCCGCAACAAAGACGTTGCAGCGTGATGAACCTCCTCCGTGGGGATGGATGATCAACCCTATGAGTAAAGCCCCCTAGATGGTTGCTGGCCTTCCATGTTCATCCCAATTGACACCAGGGCTCATTTTTTTCCACACCTCTTGCAACACGGTAGCAAAGCCTGAGCCCCAAGCGCTATCTTTGGCAGCAGCCTCTGTGCGAAGTGCATCGAGTATGCCATCATCGCCTTAGCGGTGAGCCTTCGTCAAGCGGCAGGTGATACTGCAATTTCTGTCCGAAAAGAACGGCTGGGCATGCGGCTTTCCTTGCCACCCCGTGGGCTCTGCCTCAAGACTTTCATAGAATTCTCAATGGGCGTGCCCATGAAAGGAGGAAAACTGGCAACACCGATGTAGGCTCTGACGGCGACCCACGCAACAGAGAAGCGGTTCTGTGCAGTATCATGTCCACTTCATTCAAATGCTCGCACGCCCTCACAACCCATCCGGCTCACGTCACCTGCTACTCACCATGTGTGGCTTGCCAATTTTGATCCGGTTGGTCAGGTCTGATCCGAGGAGGCAGCTGTTCCCTCTGGCGGTGGTGAAGGAGGTCCACCTAGACGTAAAGGGCAGGCAATCCACATCCCGGCAAAATGACAGTTGTCTCCCAAAAGGACAGCAAACTGGGTGGCTCCCTCCAGTTTTCACGCAGAATTTGGGTCTGCCAACAGTTTTCAACTTGTGGCAGCTCACATGAGGAATCCTTCGGGGAAAGGCCTCAGCCATGGAGGCTCGGGGAAGTCTTTTTGGCTGAGAAAACGATATGACACGATCTGTCGGAGGGCTACAAATCGACTGAGCCCTGGAGTGGGCTTTAGAGCTACCGCAACCAAGTAACCCTGCCATTTCCACACTCGACTTGGGCTTGTCTCCAAGCACCGTCACAAAAACAAATGGTAGTGTCCTTTTGGTTTCCCTTAATACCAACCTTCCAAAAAAGGCCCTTTGGGAAATTGGTCCACAAACAAACACGATACCATAATGACGCACGGTCGAATTGTGTCGTTCCCCTATAGGCCCTGGAGGACGTGGGAAAACTAGTGAGTGCCCTTCTTGAGAAGCATTGAGTGAGTCCCTCCCACACGGACCATACCGGATAAACCCGACGAAATCTGTGAGCAGCACTCCAAAGCTGTTCAGTTCTGATTGTACCACCATGGCTACAAAGGTTTACATGGCCATGGGTCAAAATCCAATACCCCCAGTGAACATCCCAATCCCCACTAAAATAGGTTCTAAAATGGGTGGTGAATTCACCTACCCCAAAATGGGATCCTATTGGTTTTGACAACCGCAGCCATCTGTGAGCAGCACCCCACAACTTTTCAGTTCTGATTGTACCATGGCTACAAAGGTTTATATGGCTGTGGGTCAAGAATAGGTACCCAAAATGGAACCCTGGTAAATGGAACCCAGGACTAACACCTGGCGTCCCCTGGTCGAATTTTGACCCACAGCCACACTCGCCTTACCAGAACCCCAACCCAGCGAACCTCCTGGTGCTTCAGGAGCTGGTCCTTCTCCTCCAGCTGCTGCCGGGCCTCCAAACAATTTGGCTTGCTGATTGAATCGATGGGGACTTTGCTTTTGGCCAAGCACTTGTGAATAGGGGGACTTTGTTGTTTTCTGCAAAGAGTTGAAAGGTTGAAGGGCGCCACAGCGTGATGTTCTTGACCCCTTTAGAGCAGTCCATCGTCTGCTTCAAGCCAAGTTCGCAAAACCTGGCGAAAAGAGGGGGTACAAATCTCAGGCAAAGGGGGAGGTGTCCAAAACAGGGATGGTCTTGCTCCAGCAAGACCATCCGGCTGTGGGTCCAACATATGTCCCCAAAATGGAACCCTGGGAAACTTGGACTACAACCTGCTGTCCCCTGGTACTTTAATTTTGACCCATACCCATCTCAATCCGAAGTCCTTGGGACATACCAGCCAGCTCCCCGGCCTCCGCGACCTCCTGCTGCAGGGCCTTCATGTCCTTCATCATGATTTGCTTTTCCTGGCCGCGGCTCGCGCGCGCTTCATGGGTAAAACAAACGCACGTCGACCCCATCTCCGCCCCAAGTCGAGCATAGATCAATGAGATGATTGAATCTACATGGGGTGTGGCTGTCACAATCTCGACTTCGGCTGAAACAGAGCCCTCATGGCTAGGGCAACCAGTTCACAGGAACCGATCCGTCCTCCAGCAGCTGGTCGACCTTTTGCTGGTGGTATTCCAGATCCAGCCTGGAGGCAGGACTGCTTGTCTCAGGTTAATGGCCCGTCTGCTTTAAGGGACCCCGGAGGAAGGGCAACGGACGCTTCTTTGGACGAAACCTTTCGCGGGACCAAAATCTCGCTCTGAAATTTCAGGCTGTGCTCCTTCCGCGTCCAGGCTCCAGGCTGAAGGTGACGAATGTCACTGACGAGGTCAGCAATTTGCTGAGCTTGTCGCTGGCCTCAGTGCGACACAGTCTTGGACACCAAATCTAGCCTCCTTGTTCTTCGTGGAGCAATCCAAACGGGATATTAAGGAAGAGGCTCGCCGACCTTCCATTGGACAAGAGTTGTGTCTTGAGTTGTGGCCGAAAACGGGTGCAGCCGCGTGCACCATGATGTCGACCCGCGTGCAGCCGCCATATCGGTCTGGACGTTTCGAATCCCGGACAACGAGTGGGAAGTTTTCCTCGTCAAGGTCTCGTTCCCTTTCGACCAACAGGTATCGACTAAACTCCCGTGTTGCTCAACTTCTCATCAGCCACGCGTGTCCGGGCCCCATTGAGACTGCTGCGTCACGACAATGTGATGGTCCGCGATGAAGGCTCTCTTTGCCGATCGGATAAGGCTATCACCATCGAAGGTGTTTTCGAAGCTGTTATCAAACACCACGTTGACGTCCGCCCTGTGCAACAGAAGAAACAACTCCTCGACTATCTCAACACTAAGTTCAACGTCGCGCGACGTGGTGAAATCTGAGCCATCCCCACCCAACCATCCTTGTCTTCTTATCTTTGTCCAACCATCCTCACCCTCACTTGAAAATTATAAGAAAACATGGGGCCCAAACTGCACATCATTTCTGGGATTCATGCCCCACATTTTGGCAAGGTGGCATTCATTTGCCCAATCTCTCCACGCGCCTGGAGCCAGAAAACCTCCGATCCGATTGGAGCTCCGGGGACCGGGCTCTCGGTCTGTGCCAGCTGCAGCGCCTCCGCCGTCTTGTCGGCCTTGGGGACGGGAGGGATCCGTGATGTTTATTGCCGCCGTTTTGAGGGGCCACAAAGGGCCCCAGACCTTTTTCTGTGTGTTTTCTGCGCGACTCCTCACATACACAATGTGCAACACCACATCTCGTGAATTTGTATGATACTACAGTGGACGCTAATCGAGTATATCATTGAACCATAGAAAAACGAGGGCACCTCGCGTTGTGCCCTCTTCCACTGTTGCTGATTTTCGCTTTCCTCTGCAAGGAAGGAGGCCGCTCCGCGCCCGTGTTGCAGCCCAGCTGCGTTGGCAGTGCTTGCGCCACCGCCGGCCTCTGCCTCCTTGTCGGCTTTCAGGCTGGCGGCCTGGTTAAGCGGTGGACAGACTGATCGAATTTGGGCAGCGCAGAGGTGGGGAATCACGCGCTTGCCACGCTGGAGCTGGCTTGCCACATGGCCATGGGTCAAAACCCCGTACCCCCAGTGAACATCCCCATCCCCACGAAATGGGTGGTGCACCTATCCCAAAATGGGATCCCATTGGTTTTGAACCATGGCCACATTGGACGTTGAGTATTGTTGAGTGTCCGGTTACTTTTCCAGCCTCTGTTCGAGCCATCGTGAGCTCGGTGTAGAGGTGTGCAAGCCTCAGACCAACGGTGCCGGCCGCTCCCAATCTTCGGCCCAAGGCTCCCACTGCGTGTTGAGCACCGAGATCTGCTGGTACGCAGCCCCCAGCAAGGGTGGCTCCTGTCCAAGGGCTTTTCCAGGGTTTTGCCCAAGCCCCTGTTACATGTTTAGACCATTGCTTCAGCATAACAAGGGGTTGGCCAAAAAACCCTGGATAAAAACAATCTGGCCAAAAAAAAAGAAAACGACCCCGAGCCAGTTTCAGCCATCTCCAACCGCTATGTTTTACCACCCCCCGCGCCCGCCCCATTTCCAGCGACCTCCGATGCCATAGCGGAGAAGCCTCGGCCGTCGGCTCGGAAAGCCCGAGCAAAGTTCAAAAGTTTGATCTTGTTTGCTGTTGACCCCTCTGCAAAAAGCTTAACTTTTTGTGGGTTTAATGGAAAACGCCTCGATTTCCCAAAAAGGTTAAAGTCTAAAAATCTAACCCAATAGCAGTAGAGTGATTCCCCATTCTCTTCACCCGTCCTTCTCTTTGGAAACCATCCATTTTCCAGGGTTTTGGCCCAGTCTTTGAAGAGAATGATGCTTCTGAAGAGAATGGAAAAGGAGGGTACAGCTAGAAAAGTGGCCAATCATGGCGGTGCCTCAAAATGCAACAGCTGGACCCCAGGTGGTGGATTTGTTTCCAGGGTCCCAGGGTCCCATTTTGGGTCATCTTTGAGCCTCCAGACCTTGGATTACACCGATGTGAGGACCATCCGGAAGCAAGCTAATAGCACACCATCACAGAGCAAGATGCTCTTTTCAGAAAAGTCGGAGTGTCTTCAAAGGTGTCCTCGCCAAGAAAGCATAACATGACCCTCCCAAATTTCGCGTGCCTCATTTACCCTTGATGTTTTTTGGGGGTCAGGCGGCCCACAAATTAAATCGCCTCCCCATGTTGGAGCTCCATAGACCCGTTCTCTGGGCCGCGTGGCTCATCTGCTCGTCGCCAGGTCCCGGCACGATGGTGCTGGCCTTTCACTCGCGACACCCCACCCCTTTTCGCGCATGCGCATTTCCGGCGCACGAACAAACCCAGGGATTCCCTTCAAGGAAACCACTAGGGATGGGTTTGTAGGGGTCATTCCAACTCATTCCCTGAGCACCAGCAAGCTAATCGGGAGAACTTGGGAGAGTGTCTTCAGCAACAGCGGACAAAGCCGCTCAAACAGAGCCTCTGGGCCGCAATGCTTCATTGGAGTCCCCCACAAACTTAGCGGCAGCAGGTACAGGGCAAATTGGGCCCAAGAACGCATCGAACATGAATCTGGTATGCAAATCTAAACAGAGCAAAACAAGCACATCAATTGAGCCGTGCCAAATACTCTTGTGTAAAAAGCGGTCCTATAAACTTGCTTTCGCGGACCCTTTCGCGATGCTTTCGCGACCCCATGTTTTGCTTTCGCGGGCTTTGGTTTCTTTAGAATTGCTTTCGCGACGCTTCCGCGGCGGACCGTCACACAGCATGCAGGCTTTCGCGAGTCTTTCGCGGCGGGACCTTGTTTGGTTACTTTCGCGATAAGCTTTCGCAAGCTTTCGCGGCCTGCGTTTTAGCTTTCGCGGGGATTCTATAGGACACCCCCCTTTACTACTTTGTATTGTCAGGGATTTTGGCGCTGCTCAATTGAAGGCACGAAAATGCGAGAACAACATGACAGGACAAATTATAGGCTATAGGCAAAAACATCCCCAGTCGCTCTGCTTCCAGTCGCACAAATGCAAGCCTCGCTTCATGCAAGGGGCACAGGCCCCGGCAACATTCGCAACCAGTTGTGATGAAATCCCTTGAGCAACTCAAAGGAGGGTTCCCCAGGCGCACTACGCCAGGGGAGGCAAAGAAGAACATGATCAACACGAGTGGCATTTTCCCGTTTTTGATACCTGTTGGTTTCGGCTCTAAAGGAATACCAAAACGACAACCACCGTGTTGGGGGTCCCCAAAAAGTTTTTGAAAAAACAACACACCCATATACCAAGAAGCCACAGCTCCTCCAAAACTGTCTTAGGCCTTCAGCTTCGCAAGTGCGCCGGCGATCGCTGGATAGCTTAGCTGCGCTTGGATTGAACAAATCAAGCGCAGAGCTGCGGTACAAGGCAGGCTTGGGGTCTAAATGGTTGACATACCTGCATGCACACACACACACACACACACACACACACACACACACACACACACACACACACACACACACACACACACACACACACACACACACACACACACACACACACACACACACATTACAATTTGCTATCGGAGAACCATCACTGCTGTTGCAAGCTCATACGAATTTCCTGGTTCAACATCGATACTCCTTCATGATAACTACAACTTTACAAAGGCGAGTGGGTAGAATTCTAACGCAAGACGCAGTGGGACACAGCCAAATCGGAGAAAATCAGAAAGAGCCTCGCCTTGGCATGCTCCAACTCCGCTTGCTCCTGGCAAGCTGAAGAACAAACACATTCAGCATATCACGGCAAGCAGCTTCTTGAGAGTCGCTAAAAGCCACAGGCTCCCAGGACCAAAGAACGGACCTACGTCATGGTGAGGTCCTTTGGCCCCAGAGCTCGTCAGACTCAACAGTGTTCACATCCCGCTTTTTGGCGAAAGCAAGACCCGACAGGATCTTGCGGCAATCTTTGCGACTTTCGGTAGGTAGATGCACAGTCCGCACCTTGAACGCAACGTTGGCCTCACATCAGGATGCAAGGCTCGCATGTGAAAACTGGGGATCCGTCCACTGAAGCTCTTAGCACAAGGCGGCGGATTCCCGCAACACCGCCTCGAAAACGGCATCGGTCACGTCGTCACTCATCTCCTGTACCAGAAAACTCAGCTCTTGCTGTGCTCTCAACTATTCGGTCGGTAAAGGCTCTGCCACAGAGCGGTCCATATCAAACCTGGCATCCCATAGCAGGCTTCAAACGCCCGTGCTGAAGTCCCAGTAAAAGAGCTCGCTTGAAGTGCTTCCCTTGACAAGCATCCACGGGCCCCTGAATTAAGAAAACACTCCATCCATACAAACCTAAAATAGACAATGCGGTGAATATGGTCACACATCGCAGGCACAGCTCCTCCGCGGCTTCGTTCTCCACAGCCTTCTCGGTTTCTGCGTGAAACGTGCGGATGCCTGGGGGTCAGCTTTCCCAGAACTGGAGGTTTCAGTGACTTCTTTTGGCCCTGAATATTGCAGCTGCTGCCTGTCGCTGCCATGTTTTTCTCAACCAACGCATCTATCTGGGCAACAAACGTGAACACTTCGTTGCTTCAGCATCTGTCAATCTGGATGATCCCTGGATCAAAATGCTGCAAGCCCCCGGCCCACCGATTCTTGCTCCGAGGAAGGAGTATCCGCAACTGGCCAGGACGATTTGCGCGAATTGGACGTGCATGCCAGGTTTGATAACTCCCGGATTCAAGTGCCTCGCCAAAGCCCTCCAGTCACATCACGATTGATGGATTGGAGATGGTTCCTCTGAAATGGCATCAACTTGTCGACGGTATCCCATGAATGGCTATGTTTCCACCATGCTGAAACAAAAGCAATGAACAAAATTCCATTGTCGCTCGCACCTCTCTGCGTCACGGGTTCTGTCTCCATTTGGCCGCGCCTGGCACGCAACGCATCATGTTGCTGCCACATTGAAACAAAAGGTGGCCCAACCAAAGCAGCTATTCGTTTATCTGGGCACCTCAACCTGAAAAACATCTCAACACAAGCAGGGTGATGTACCCTGGTGAACCCTCGTGTGACCTGTGTGCTTCTCCGCGACTTCAAGCAGTCGATAGAGACCGGAGTTCTCCACAGGAGCCATATTTCCCGATGCCAACCAGAAAGAACCGGATGCTCAATTCCAACCTACCAGAAATCCAGGGCTGAACTGGTTTTCTGTTCCAAACACATGTGCCAAACATGGCGCACGGGCACATGGAACCATCTACACCTGCGCGAGCCACCAGCTCAAAGCGAAGATCAGGGGCCCAGGCACTGCGGCTCCGCCCCTCTTGGCATGAGCCAAGGACTGCGGAAGCGAATTCTCGGAAGGTGCCACCGGCGCCCTTTTGGAATGGCCTCTTTTGGAATGGCCTCTTTGGGAATGTTTGACCAAACTCTCCTAAAACGGACACCTATGGATATGCACCAAAATAGTGGTACTCCTTCAGGCTTCCCCTTGAAGCCGCCTTCAGACGCGAAGCAACCTGACACGGCAGTGCGTCAAAAATGGGGCAGCCCCAAAATGGGTTGCCCTGGTGGTGTAAGTTTGACCCCCATACCCACTTGTGCCTGTTGACCAAGGGTGACTAACTCGACACCAAACAGAACTCTCTGCATACTAACCCCGGTGGCATGTCTGATCTCGAGACTCTGCTTTTAGCTTGCATGCCCACCACCCATCTGCAATCTGATAAGATGCCATTATAGCTTTCCTCTCTAAAAGAACCAAAGGGATGATTGGAATTCGCAGTGACTTGCAACTCCCATCAAACTCCGCGCGTGAAAAGCATGTCTCGAGCTGCACTGCTTGAAGCTTGCTAATTGCAATTCTATTATCATAGGATATTGTAATTTGATGTTATTGCCTATATGAATATATAATATATACTGCATACAGCATATGTTGTATATATGCATGGGCGTTGATGCAATTCTCGATTCTTCTGATATGCACTGCCTGTTTATACATATTTCAAACACACACTGCACTTTGCAAAGATAGAATTATTCAAGAAGCAACAAGGTCTGACCCTCCAGTGCAATATGGCCATGGGTCAAAATTCCGTAACCCCAGTCAACATCCCAATCCCCACTAAAAAAGACTAAAATGGGTGGTGCACCTACCCCAAAATGGTACCATTGATTTTGACCCACAGCCATATGTATCCATACATTTGCCACCAAGCCCAGGCTCTGTGCCCCGTTTCTTTTCGGAGCCGCTGGCATCTGCGCGATTCGGCAGCGGACCACTGAGGACCACGGCTCCATGCAACGCGTCCCAGCACAAGATGCCCGGCCGAGGAAATTGTCTCAGGGGGCAAAATAAAGTGACTCTAGCGACATCCGAGTGCTCGGCTTCAGGAACTAGCTGCAATGATGGCATGCCGCGAACACCGCAAGGCAATACCATCAAAGCCTCAGTCACGTCACAAAATGGTGGCACTCGGCAATCATCCAGGAAGCGACTTTCTTGCTGAAGCAATGCGCAGCAGTTCAGAACATCTGTGTTAAAACATGTTGCACATTAACAAAACATGTCAGTTGATAGGCTATTGATTTCTTTGCTTGGCCGGTCTCTCTCTGTCCAAAAGCTACCAGACTTGCAAACAGACTTCTTGGTATGATGAGCATTGCCACAATGGGGAAGTGGGAAGCAAAAAGGCACGCAAACATCAAACATCACCAGCCACCTTGACCTCTTCAGCCACATGCTCGGTGCCCGTGCCCAATGGACGCCAGAACTTCATCTGGCGGCCTTGGTACAGCATGTCTCACACGTCCCAAGACATCGTCGCCTTCCTGGAAAGCTTCACTTGCATACAGCATCTTCGATGAGAGCTTGGCTTGGGACAGGCAGGAAAGGATGACCGTCGCTTCTAGCAAGTCATCCAAACAACAGGTCGCCCTACATGATTCCAACCGCGCCTCCAATCTTTGCGAAAATACCGGCAACAATTCAAAGTAAGTTTAAGTCTCTGCATAGAAGCCAATAAAAATGGGTACGGCGGCTCCTGATTGCTGTCAATGCATTGGGTGTCTGGCCGAGTTGGTGCATCCACAGGTTTGGGCAGCTTCGATGGGTCCAACACCTAAGCTGCGCCCATCGCAACTTAGAACACAGCACATCTTGGCAAGAGGTGGCATGCGGCTTGCGGCAACAATCAGCCTTCACAGCACGAGCCCTTCAAATCTGCAGCATAGCAAAGTCGGAGAGCGTTCATGATCTGCTGACTATATATTCATAGACCTCTTGGTAAGCCGCAGGGTGGCACTCCTTGGTCCATGAAACGGCTAGGACTGCGGCTCCCTCTATGATTTGAGTCGCTGCCCTGATGTCGCGCTGCTCAATGGCCTGCAAAGACCACACAGAATATCGGTTTCGGGCTAATGATACGTTTGTTGTGTACAATCACCAAACTTGTTGATAGACTCCTGATTGTCTTCATCCATGCTCCGCTGTTGACTTCGCAGTGAATCTCTTCTGTAAAGTCTCTTCTGTAGCCTGGCTAGCCAAACAAGTCGCTTGCCATGGCTCCTGACATTTCCTACTCATGAGGCATCTTCAAGCACATGTTGACGATGTGGCCATTGGCAGCCGTCTTGCCCAAAGCGAACGGGTAGCTTCAACAACCAAACGAAAGCAGTCGAGGATGTCGTCTTGAACGTGGGCGAGGGGGCCAAGCTTGCTGAACCCCACAGCCTCCACAGCCACCGCCATTTTTCGGAGAAAGGTTGGAGGCTCCTTCCAGCCTCCGTGGCCTCCAGAGCGTACTGGCTGTTCATGTTCATGTTCAGCACTGCCTCGGACCCCGGGCTGCACCACTGCACTCTGAGATGCCATTTGTGCAGCATCCGAAACAAGCACAAGAAAGTCGAGTTGCAAAGCTCCAAGCTCTTCACTGTGTGTGTTTGTGTGTGGTCTGCATGTTGGCTTCTTGAGACACAAGGGAAAAACCTGGCTGGTCGGGGCCGCCCCTGTCACAAGTTGGGTGCCCGGCGCCCTGGAGGAAATTCCAAATGTGTGTTGCGTCAGGGCTCAGCACCAGCGAGGACCTGAGTCGATGGCGCCTAAATGAAGAGCGGGAGACCGAAAGGCCTGGAGGAGACCCAAGAGACCCAAACCAAAAGTGCGGCGCGGCATGCACCGCACTTTCGGCAACAAACTTTGTCGAGCAGTCGAATTTGGGATGGGAATCCTCACAGCGAGCTTTGAAGATGGAAGATCGGGGGAGGCAAAACGGGCTTCCGCTTCACGTGCAGCAGGTGGCTGCGCTAAGGGAGCTGCAAATATAGCCGCGCAGCATCCTTGTGCTTTCCTCATGATTCGTGCAAAGGCTCTCAAGCGCAAGCAGACACGCCAATTGCAAAACTGGTTCGCACACTGGAATCTGAGGTCAGCTCCAAGATTGGCATGCGCGATGGCCATGTTCGACCTCGGCGGCCCCGCGAGCACGCACGAGCGGGCTCGAAACACGAGGAAGCCGAAACTTCCTGACTTACCATCCTCCTGATGATCTGTAGGTTTCACATGCTGGAAGTAGACAGCAACTACTTGTCGATCAGCGCAGCTTCCTCAAAAGGCGGTCGAGGTCAGTCTGATGCTGAATCATCCTACATCTATGCATTTGATGAGCAAGTCTTTGGACATCATTTTCATGGAGGTTGATGTCCAGAGCCAGAAGTTTAGCGTGTACCCCCATTCGGATGTATCTTGTGTTCGGGGCATCCGTCTTTTTTGGAGCTTCGGGACAAGACAACTGCAAATTCTTATGGATTCCTGATTCCGATTCGTTCCCCCAATGTGGCCGTGGGTCCAAATAGGGTCACCCCAACAAGGCACCCTGGAAAGATGGACTAAAACCTGCGGCAGTGGCGTCATTTTGACCCATACTCATTTGGAACCCAGGTAAGTGGAAACATGGACCAACACCTGCGGTTTGCCTCTCCTGCTTAAATTTGACTTCTACTCATTTTGCAGACGCGCAAGTGGAAAATCCGAAAAACAACGCTGGGAATTCCTGGGCCACGACCAGCTCCGCGCATAGTTGGGCTTCAGCTCGAGGCCCTGATGATATGCCACCTGGGCGTCAACCGAATGGGAACCACTCCCCCCAATCTGGCCGCTTGCGCTGGGTCCCCCTTTAAAAGGTACCTCACAAAAAAAAAAGAAGAGAAGAGACAAAAAACGGAACATGTCATGGCCGAAGGCACTCACTTCTGGCGGGAAACGCCGTTGCTGACCTTCAAGTACCCAATCAGTCACGCATGGAGCTGACCTAGACACATTGTCGGTTTCAGCATCCTGGTCCTAGAGAGTTCTACGATAAGGATTTGCCTCCATCCAGGGCTGTGGCAACTGCCTGCTCGCTCTTGCCGGAATTCGCCAGGGTGGCTCCCAGCTTGTTCCAGACCTTGGTCGGATCACATGGCCGTGCCAGTGAGAATAAACTGAAACACGGCAGCCCTAGCCCAACAAACGGACGGATCAATGCTTTCCGTGATTCTTGGGTCCAAATCAGCCACTGTTATGAAGGCGGCGGCCGTGTGATCATTCGGGCGCAATCGGCAGGCGGTCGCAAACGCCTGGTGCCACTACACTTCACCACTCTTAATCGCACTTCATAACATAACTATGGTTGCACCTCATGACATATATCCTTGCACCTCACTACGCCTGATATGCACTTCAGCCAGACTCTGAACATGCTTCATCCGTCAATGCCGGCAAAAAGCTCTGCCTGGATGGCCTCATCGAAGTTTCCTTGGTCGACGGCGCCGCAAGCAGTGCAGATGCAGGCAGTGCAAAACGCAAGCAGTGCAACATGCAAGTGTAGGGATGTTCCTGTATAACCAGTGCACTAGACTGGCAGCTCAGAAATAGAAAACCGACCAACTCTTGGCTGTGTCTGGGAGTAGTGCCATGTGCAGGTTTTGACAGCTTGCCGCGAGGGCTTTCCCGGCACGAGGAACACACGTGTGCGTGACCTCGTGCTTACAAGCCTGTCTGACAAGTCGCTATTGATGTTCTCCATCACGCCCAGAGCAATGAACACATCTGGATCATGTGGACTTACCTGCAGGTCACAGCCTCTTACCAGCATTACGATGTGGGCCCGCAGGTCTTTACAGGGCCTCCAAACTAAGTTCGGGGGAAGGCTGCTAGTGGAGAATGATAGTCCCTCATGAAGAGTACTTTAGCTCGGGTTTCTTGCTGCTTGATATTCGCTGTCTAGTAATTACTGGTATCCAGCATGATTCCATGCACAAGCCACACACGCAGTGCCACATCCATCGCCTCTGCGGCACGCTGGAAGAGCTGCGTTACTTGCTGGCCTCGCGAGAACGCGCGCGACTGACAATCCCGGAGTTGAGTAATAGAGTCTTGGTTTCTCGACTTTGGCTGAACTATTACTGATCGTGCAAGAGATGGCAAAGGCTTCCAAGCATAGGTGGCCTTTTGGAAAATAGATGGTGGTAAATGGAATAAACACCATCTAAACCAGGGCCCTCTATTTTTTAAGCAAACCAACCAAAGAGGACACCCATGCTTCCAAGGTGATTGGATTGGCTAGACAAAAAAGATGCCTCACTCTCTGAGGTGCGGGCGCCAAGCTGGGTACTCAAACTCTGGAGGAGGCTGCACTCCCTCCACCAGAGCCTGCCGGATGACGTGCCAGATCTACGCGCCAGTTGGTGCAAGACACCTTTATCATCTGAGAACTGCCATCTCTTTTCATTCAGTATCCAGTATCGGGCACCTGATACTCCTCGTGATTCTCAATCCAGGTCCGCAAGTAGCGCCTGAGGGACAAAGATGTCAAGTGCACCTAGCAGCCTGGACCTGACGAAACCAAAACTCGTGGGCCTCTACACTGTTTCTTTTGGGCTTCGATCTATATGGGCATGAATTCTACTTGGGGACCCTTTGGACATCATTTAGGTGGGGATTTCTGTCCACCTGCCACTTTTCAGTGGGTTCCCCATGGAAATTCACTGCCATATTCCATGGCTAGCTTTCTGGGCGTTCTACGAATCTCACCTCCCCGTGCTACGCTTCCTACGCTTCCGCCGGAGCCGCACTGAGGTCGTGGCAGTGCCGGGAGCTGATCCAACTCATTTGTGCAGCTCACACCTGGGATCGGACTGGCTGCTGCTTGGAGAACAACATGGGTGCGGATTTATTTCGGTATATATATATATTTTTTTATTTTATTTTTCCGTTGTTGTTTTCTTTTGTTTTTGTTGGGGGGGATTTGTTCGTTTACTGTGTTTCGTCTTGGCCAGCAAAATATACCCCTCCGGAAAAAATGGCTGGGCCCCGCATGTTCCCGCCAAGACTACACGAATCGCGTCGCTCGCTCAAGTGAGCCTCACGCACGTCAAACAGCAGGTGGTCCCAGCCCATAGGCAGAACCCTTGGCCCCTCGACCGGCTTTAAGACGCCCACCCAGTGCGAGCAGGCTGTCCAGGTTGTAGGGGTCCACCTGAGATTACATGCCACATGGCCATGGGTCCAAACCCAAATCGCACCCCCAAATAACATCAACCAATCCAAACACTAAAATAGGTTCTAAAATGGGTGGCAAATTCACCTACCCCAAAATGGTACCATTGGTTTGAACCACCCATTTTAGTCTATTTTAGTGGGGATGGGGATGTTCACCGAGGGTGCAAAAACGGTTTTGAACCATGGCCACATACCGCTCACGTTGCAAGGAGCTGGCCTCGTGTCCCTTTCGCAGGCACTGAATGGCCTGGCAAACTTCAAACAGCTGCGCTACCGCTAGGCCCGGAAACAGTCCAGCCCTGAAACCAAGACATCCACACCGCTCTTTGCGGAATGGCCCGTAAACATAGTCTGTCGCCGGTCTTTGGCCAAAATAGTCATAATCATAATCATCATCATCATCATCATCATCATCATCATCATCATCATCATCATCATCATCATCATCATCATCATCATCATCGTATTCCTCATCATCATCACCACCATCACCGGCACCAGCGCCAGCGCCAGCGCCAGCGCCAACGCCAACGCCAACGCCACTACCGCCACCAACGACAACGACAACGACAACGACAACGAGAACGACAACGACAACGAGAACAAGAGCAAGAGCAAGAACAATAACAACAACACCAACAACAAAACCAACGACAAGAAGAACAACAACAACAACAACAACAACAACAACAACAACAACAACAACAACAACAACAACAACAACAACAACAACAACAACAACAACAACAACAACAACAACAACAACAACAACAACAACAACAACAAGAACAACAAGAAGAACAACAAGGTACCGCGCTGCTTTCGCGGCCCTGCGATTTGGGCGTCATGATGAGAACTGCCCCATTTTTTTCAGTGTCGATTGTGCCAATAACGGTGCTCAGCGAAAAAACTTTGGTTTGGGACGGTTCGAGCTCCGCGCCTTTTTAACCTCCAGCATGTGGGTGGGCCTTCCCCTCCCCAAACCAATAGTCCACCAATAAGCTTTTGAAGGAAAGCCAACAGGAGCCCAACAATTTTCGGGGCCTACAAGAAAGACCCACCCGTATGAAGGTGAGAGCTGGGCCCTGGCTGCTTAAACCCATCGTTGGTTGTAAAAGGCTAGCGCGAGCGGCAGCACTTTGAGTCGCTCTGCGCGTTCATCTAGACACTTGGCTGTGTGTCAAAGGAATATACCAAAATAGCACCTTGGCAAATGGAACCAAAGACTAAGACCTGCATAACCCCACTTTATTTTGGAGCCACAGCCATTTGCTTTTGGATGAGCTTTTGGTGGATTCTTCTGTTCGTCGCACTGCTCTTCCTCGTTTTTGAGACTATCCTTTGCTGATTACTCTTTCCTGAACCAGTCGGGGGAGAAAAGCGCACCTTTTTCCGGGGCTGGACTTGGGAGATTTTCTCCAAACTTTCGAGACAAGGCAACAAAATCGCACCTTTGGACAGCAACCCAAAGCCGGATAATTTGGGGTTTGTGTACGGTTTTTGTGGGAAGCTTGAAAAGGGCGCTACCGGGGTCGCATATGTTCTCTTGGGAGTTTTGAGTTTTCCATGAGCCCGCTGCGGTCAAAGTGGACGCTATTACCCCGAACTCCCCCCCCCCAACAAAGAAATGCCTAAAACAAACCGGCATGGCACACGCGCAAAAATCCAGAGAAAATACTCCGATTGCTGGACTCTGCCTGGAACACAGACCTAAGTGCCCTAGCTCAACCCGCATCCGAGTGATGAAAAAGTGCCAACTCACAGGGCCGCGAAAGCAGCGCCGCACCAGCAACAACAAGGACAACAAGAACAACAACAATAATAGCAACAAGAGCAGGAAGAAGAGCAACAACAAGAACAACAACAAGAACAGCAACAATAACAATAACAAGAACACGAACACGAACAAGAACAACAAGAACAAGAATAACAAGAAGAACAAAACACAAAGAAGAACAAGAAGAACAACAAAACAAACAACAAGAAGGATAACAATAACAATACCAATGACAAGAGGAAGAGCAAGCAAGCAAGCAAGCAAGCAAGCAAGCAAGCAAGCAAGCAAGCAAGCAAGCAAGCAAGCAAGCAAGCAAGCAAGCAAGCAAGCAAGCAAGCAAGCAAGCAAGCAAGCAAGCAAGCAAGCAAGCAAGCAAGCAAGCAACAACAACAACAACAACAACAACAACAACAACAACAACAACAACAACAACAACAACAACAACAACAACAACAACAACAACAACACAACTACAACTACAACACAACACAACTACAACAACAGCAGCAACAACAGCAACAACAACAACAACGACAACGACACGACAACGACAACGACAACGGCAACAACAACGACAACAACAACAACGACAATACCAACACCAACACCAACACCAACACCACCACCACCACCACCAACAACAAACAACAACAACAACAAGCAAGCAAGCAAGCAAGCAAGCAACAAGCAAGCAAGCAAGCAAGCAAGCAAGCAAGCAAGCAAGCAAGCAACAAGCAACAAACAACAACAACCAACAACCACCACCACCAACAACATCACAACAACATCAACAACAACAACAACAACAACAACAACAACAACAACAACAACAACAACAACAACAACAACAACAACAACAACAACAACAACAACAACAACAACAACAACAACAACAACAACAACAACAACAACAACAACAACAACAACAACAACAACAACAACAACAACAACAACAACAACAACAACAACAACAACAACAACAACAACAACAACAACAACAACAACAACAACAACAACAACAACAACAACAACAACAACAACAACAACAACAACAACAACAACAACAACAACAACAACAACAACAACAACAACAACAACAACAACAACAACAACAACAACAACAACAACACAACAAACAAACAACAACAACAGCAACAACAACAACAACAACAACAACAACAACAACAACAACAACAACAACAACAACAACAACAGCAGCAGCAGCAGCAGCAGCAGCAGCAGCAGCAGCAGCAGCAGCAGCAGCAGCAGCAGCAGCAACAGCAACAGCAACAGCAACAGCAACAGCAACAGCAACAGCAACAGCAACAGCAACAGCAACAGCAACAGCATCAAACTGGCGAGAAACAGAAAACAACAAACACACACACACACACAAACACCTTTACTTGTGTCATTCCATCGGTGCCTGTCAAGGGCTTCAAACATCCATCGCTCGCCTCGACGTCTAGATCCAGGCTTGCATACAGCTGACCCAGCCTCAGTCAACAAACTGCGTTGCTCTTCCCCACGCGCTTGATCACCGGCCTTTCTATGCCTGTTTTATGAACATCCTTGCAAACATATAGCATCTTCTTTCCTTCCCAACCCGTTAGACCAAGTTCGCTTCATTTGACCACGCCCGGGTGTCTCAGGGCTGGGCAATCTCCATCCTTCTGAGCTCTCAGGGTTCCGCTGGACCTGCATGGCTTTCATGCACCAAAACCAACTTGCAACTCACAGTGGAACGGCCTCCGCTTCCAGGCAAAGCAAGGCATCGCGGTCTCTGCCTGGTGTTTTCGGGTCTCGCTTGAAAACACCATCAGGCTTTCGCGGGCCCGAGCGGTAGCGCCCGGGAACCACAGGGATGCTTGGTAGGGGCAAACATCAGCCCAGCCTTCGCGCAGAAGCCGTATGGCCTCCGCCAAGGGGTCTGACACTTCACCTAGGCACGACTGAGAGGCTCAATGGCCGGACTGGGATCAAACGGGTTTCTTCCTGATTTTCCATTGACATCCCGAAAGGCCGTCCTGAGTTTGTCGAAATCCGATTTCTGCCCATGTTTCCTGGGAAAGGCACTGAAGGGGTTCTCCTCCGCAAAGCGATACTCCGCGCCGCGGCTCATGGCCGCCACGTTCATGGACATTGGGTCGTAGCCGTCCAAGCCTCAGAGCGGAGCTTTTTGCATCGAGCGCTTGGGCATGGCTTTGTGCAAGCGAGATCTGCAAGCCCAGCCTTCCATCATGCGCTCCATCATGGCATCAACCTTCAAGCAGCCAGGAAGCTGAATGCATGTCTGTTTGAGAGATACTCCGCAAACTCCAGTCTCTCAAGGACACCTAGACAAACTCAGGCCTCCTCCCTGGAGCCAAACGCCTCCTGGATACAAGATATTGCATGGCCCACAGTTCGATGCTGCCTCTCACGACGGTCAACGTCGCTTATGCCACAGGAATAATGCCGACAAAACCCCGCGTGAACTCACAAATGGCACGTGGAGATCATATCATCTTGCTCGTTTGGCAGTCCTCCAGGGCCTGTTGTTGAGCTTGGAGGAACGCATGGTTCATGCTGCCGGACATGTCACCTCTGCAACACTGGCTGTTCTGCGACATATTGAAACAACAGATTCACTACATGATGGGGTTTATTGTATGTATACATATATTAGTAATATATATATATATATATATACATATTATAAAAACACGGAACCAAAAAAAAACACGCTCAGGTGATATCCCCAACAGCATGCGGTGCTCTTTTTCGTGCTCGCCCCCGAAGTCCTTGCAGAACCTCGTGGAACCCTCGTGGAACCCTGGTGGAACCCTGGTGGAACCCTCGTGGAACCTTACCTCAGGGCCGCCCCGGACCACCCCATGGGCTGAGACCCCAAAGCTTTCAGCTGTTGTGGGGAAAAACAGAACAGGAAACACACACACACACACCCACCCACCCACGCGCGCGCGCACGCACGCCCGCCCGCCCGCACACACACACACAGTATGGTCCAACGCTTGTCCTTCCCAGATCACTCTCTGGTTGCCATGCCTTCCATGTCAAAGCGGTCCGCGTCTGCTCTCAGCATGGACTGCATGGCGTTAGCCATGCCTAGGTGCCAGAAAGCACTGAAGAAAGGCAGTTTGATTGCCGACTTCGGGATTGGGGAAAATCGCTTTTGAATCATGCCCTCTTTCGAGAGGCTCTGCACATTGTGACTGTCAGTCCACGCTAAACATGATCATCCAAAGCCGCTGAACACATCTCAAGCATCTGGCTGTCAGGGTCAGCTGAAGCTTTCCAAAGACTCGCCTGGACAGAATGCTCCACAAGCAAAGCACGATGCAAACTTCCCAGCAAAGCACCGTCAAGAGGAATCATGAAACACAAGGGCGTGTTTCCAACAGGCGCGAGTTTCTGATTTTCTGCATGTAATTGGACGGGAAGAAGGCTGGGCAATACGTGCAACACGGCCATTTCTGCAGCCTTTGAGTGGCTCCGTTCAAGCAGTGCATATCTCAAACTCGCCAAAACAGGTCAGCACTGCAAGCTGACTGCGGTCGGAGTCAGTCGCAGTGGCAACATCAGTGTCGTACAGCGTTTCCCAATCCTTAGTATCAAAGGAAGGTCGGCCAGTGGAGTCAACCTACTTGCGTCCTGGCACAAAATGTAGCATGTTGAAGCAAGCACTTATTAACCGTTTTCGTCGAAAGCATCACCTCTGAGTGTCGCGCCACTTGATTGCCTGCTCGATCAATCACGCTGTTTTCGCGGAACTGAAGGTCGCCCTGCCACTCACCCACTAAGCAAAGCAGTTGGTTCAACTCACACATGCTCGACCATGGGCAATGCATGGGCTGATGGTATCTGATCTGAACACCTGTGCGGGTCTGGTGACCTGCCGCTCGAAAACGAAAGCCGGGCCTTGCTCACCTTGTCGATGAAAGTGACGAATCTCGAGTTGGCAAGCTTGGAGTTGCCACTATTTCGGAGCCTGGCATATGCCCATGTCACATCTGAGAAAGGTGGACAGTGTCTGGGGGCCCAGCATGTCCACCATCTGGGCAGCCTGTTCTAAGTCTGCCTCTTCGACCTGAAGGAAAAGGCCCAGGCTTGGTATGGGTCGGGCAAGTCGGGCAGCAACCTGCCTGTGGTGCTTCTTGGACAGGTTCCTGCACCTTCGCCTCGCCAGCTATACATTCTCCACGCAACCAGCGCAAACAATGAAGGATGTCTCAACTCAAAAGCCGCAAAGTGTCAATCAGCACCCTTTACACCGCGGAAACGACAGTACTAACACTACAAATTGACTCCGGGAGAACAAAGCACAAGCTTGCCCAGAATCAAGCTGCCGTGCCTGGGCATCTGTACTGATCGGGGCAGCGGCCACAGGCATTTGCTGCATTGGAGCAGCCATTGGCCCCGGTCCCTGAGCGAAGGGTTCGGCCTCTGTTCAAACTTTCAAAACACGGTGGTTTGCAACTCATCTCTTTGGGTTTGCTTTCAAGCGTACCAGGGACTGGTTGTTGCCAACTTTGCTCAACCCCGCTACCACGTCCCCCCCAAAAAGACTCAACTCAAGCTGCTCAAGCCGCACGCCCCAGGCTTGGGCGCCAGACCCGGAACATCGAGCCACCCATCATGGGGCCCATCATGGGACCCATCATGGGGCCCATCATGGGCCCCATGGGTGCGCTCCTGCTGGACGCTGAAGGCCCGGCACTGGCCTCCCAGGCTGAGGGCTAAGGAGCGGGCAAAGGGAAGCTATCGCAACCAAGAGCGCCCAAGGGGGCACACGCGAGCGCATACAGAGCTTGAAGCGTGACATGCGGATCAGGTGGCCTCATTGGCTCCGCAATTCATGTAACATGGCTGACATCCCTGGTCGAAAATGCTCCTCTTTGAGGGCAAAACAAGAGGGAGCGAGCTTGGTGCAATTTCGATCAGATTCCCACAAGTCAAACATGTGAAGGACACAAACCCATGCGCCATTGCGAGTCCGATTCCGGAAATACTGATTCTATTGCTCGATAAGTCACACGCATGTTCGCATCCAAACTATCGCATTATATATATATATACATATATATATATATAAACAGCTTCGCAGGACACTCCCTCTTTCTCATACAACCCTCTCCAAAACCAATCCACTCTCAAACGGTCCAAATTGAGAGGTCCTCGGAGGACCCCCAAAAAACCCTCGCCAACTGCTAAAGCACTTACGGAGCACACACTGCGAAAAGCAACTTGCATTGGCCATCGCGCACAGCCAGTTGCAAAGCCTGGCCCGGGCTTAAGCCCCCCTTAAGATTCCCCTTTAAGAAGGTTCCGATAAAAACTGCGAAGATTAAGCTTCCCCTTCAACCCTTAAACCAACCCCCCCCCCCCCTCGTAAGCCTACTTCTAAGCCCCTCCTTTAGTTAAGGGGGAGCCCTCCCCCCCTTAAGCCCCCTTCCTCAGCCCGCCTCAAGCCCCCCTTAAGGTCCTCCTAAAGCTCTCCCTATCCCCTTGATGCCGGGCTGTCCCCACCTGCCAGGCTGCCTCCATCGAGAAGCCCGGCCCTTGCCTTTGCCTCGTGAGATGGCGATGCGGCGTCAGTTTTCTGTGTGCGAGAAGTAGGGAATGTGGGAATGAACCTGGGGAATTCCCTGCAAGGAAATATTAGTTGGATGGTTTATCAGGGCGATTCCAATTCTCATTGCCTGCCTATCGCACCAGCAAGTTTTGGAGCCTCTGACTCTGTCTTTTGAACTTCCACCGTCGCCCAACTGGCCATGTCGATTTGACGCCAACTGGCACGGTTGCTTCACCGCTTTCTGAGGCTGCGGGCCCAGCAAACCTGAGGCTCCGGGGCGAGGCGTGCCTCTGACTTTCGGAAAAGCTTAGATGTTGGACCTTTCTTATGCAACAAAAGGGCTAGAATGTATATGACAAAAAAAACGTATTTCGACTTTCCTTTTAGAAGTCTCTTCAATGTTTGGCCATAGCCTCTGGAACACATGCAACTTGGAGAAAACAAAAATACCAAGACAGCCAGTCCGGTGTCTCAGCCAACCCAAGGCAAGGATCATGTTCCCCCCAGATGGGGTTACAACAAATTCGGAAAGCCAACATCAGAGCCCCATCTGAGCCACTTATGTTCGAATCTGCGGATGCAAAGACAGCGCACATGCACACACAATATCAGTCATCGAACATATGCTAGTGTATGCAAGCTAACCAAACGGCACCACACACAGGCACGCGATAACTCTTTTATCCGAGCAGTGTGTTGGTGCCAGGGACTCATCTTCCCCTGTCAGATGACAAAGGCTGGGTGGGCCCCATGGGCCACCCAACTCACAATCTCAAAAACTGAAGAACGGGTGTGCAGACTGATAGCGCCCGCCCCTGAGCCGGGGCCCGTGGCACCCAGGCCACAGGGGGGTCTGCCACCAGGGGAAGTGAGTCACCCACCGGCTCCGGTCACGGGAGCATGGGTGGGCCCACGCTGAGATCAAAAGCGTCTCCAGGAGACGCGGGAGAAAAACAAACTCCTCGCAGAGTTCCTGCTTGGGGACCCTTTGCAAAGGGTCGAACCCAGAGAAATCTGGGTGCGTCAGCTCATCAGCCCATTGATTGAACTCACGGGGCACGTGGTTGGCCGCCAGCGAGCAGCCATGGGTGTGGAGCAGGAAGACCAGCTCCATCAGGATCGCCGCCGTGTAGGGCTTCTTGGATCCAAGGTTGAGCATCGCCATGACGTTGCCCTGGTTGTCACTGCCCACCGGGAGTCGGACCCGGGAGGACAGAGGGCCTTGGTGCGTGAGGATCATGTTACAGAGGAAGAGCGTGCCCAGCATCTCCAGAGCTGCAATCCGCCGCTTTGGATCCCCATTCTTGAAGGCCCAAGGGTACTCCTCCACGTGGATCTGCTCGTGGAACCAGTACACCTCTTTCTTGTCCGGCTCCACTTTGTTGGAGCACCAACCTCCCACAAATGCCAGTCCGTCGTCCGAGGCGCTAGCATCGCTGCAACCCCACCAAGAGGACTTCGGCAAGTAAGGGGAGTACTGGACGAAAGGCGTGTTGAAGAGGAACCGCAGCATGAACGCCAGCATCCTGACCACCTTGGGGGGCTTCCCCACCGTGGTGGTGGCCATCTTCCAGGCCCAAAGTGGCTGGAGCATCGACTTCGCCAGCGGACATGCAGCCGTCGCCACCCAGGGCCTTCTCGATGTCCTTTGAGTGCATCGCCTGCCCTTCCACCATGGTCTGCAAAACCTCCATAACCAGGATGCGTTTGTTGGCTGCCATGAGGACCTGCGGGATGTTCGGGTGGACCACGAAACCCAGCCACGTGTTAACCTCCGCCAAATGCGTCTTCTTCCAGCTAAGCGGGGTGCCCAAGGCCAGGAGTGTTGCCAACAGCGCCACCGCCAAGTTTGCTGCCCCCTCGCTTCGAAGCAGCCACAGGAAGTCATCGACAAAGACAAAGTTCCAATCCACTTGAGGAAAAAGACCTTCGCTCTCCGGTGGGCCTTGGTGACGTCCGCCTTGAGCAGCACCCACCTGGTGCCCGGCTCCGGCCATAGCCAGCCCCCAGGTGGAGGTTTGACGACCCCCCTCTCGGGGCCAGGGGCACCCTGAGAGGGGGGACCCTCCGCAGCTGCCGCATGTAGCCAACCCCACGGAGCCGTCGTCCTTTCCACCGTCTGGTTCCTGATGGTGTCATTGGCCCACCGAGCCATCGTAGATCGTGCGGATCTTGTCCCCCTCGTCGATGCCCGCTAGGGGGCCGGGACAAAGGTCCTCGATTTCGCAGCCACAGCGCGATGCTGCCTCCACCTTACTGAAGGGGCCCTCCACCATGCCCATTGGGACCTCCTCCAGAAATGTGCCCCTGATGAGCTCGCTGAAGTGATCCGCCGAGGGGTAGTTGCCCCTGCCCGTGGTGAGGGAGTTCCTGGAACTCCGGCTCCTCCCCTTTCAGCTCCTTCTTGAGTGGCCAGATGCCCGGCGAGGTGACCCCCAGTGGGACCCCTTGCTCCAGATCCCGGGGAAACTGGTGGTCGGGGTCCTGAATGTTCAGCGCCATTGTGCAAGATGTCCAGGAAGGGTTGGCCGTCAGCTGGTCGGCCTGCCCCCAGCGCCAGAATCTCCCTGATGTCCTCCAGCAGGTCCTCTGGGAAGGGATGTGACCCATCCCCCAACGAGAGAGACTCCTGGAGCTTGTCCCCCCACGGCGAAGTGAGGACACAGATCTTGGCCCCCAGCGCTGCTGCTTTGGACAGTGGCCGGGTCCAAGGGGCCAACCGTCCCAGGGCTTTCCTCCTCCGTCCCTTAAGGGACGCTGTTTGAAGGCCATCTGAAGGTACATGACCTTGTCGGAGAGATTGGGGTCGTGCGTGATCGGCAGGATGGTGGGCCGATCCGAGATCTCCATGCCATGGTGCGCCCATGGATCCGGGGAGTTCCCCCCCCAAGTTTATCCGCCTCGCCAGTCCTCTGCGTCGATGTCCGGACCTCCGGGTTGTTCGAAGCCGAAACCGGGAGTGAGCCCAAGGTTAGTCCTGCCAACGCTTGTTGGCCCGCCTTCAGCCTCCGGGACTGGCGCTTGTTGTCCCCCGGCGTGCTGGGAGAAGGTTCCCTCGGCCGCCTCGGGGGGGTCGTTGGGTTCGCCTGGGGCGCCGTGCCCCCCGGCCTCAGTGCCTCCAGGACGGGTCCCGCTCGGCAAAGGATGGCCGCGGCGAGACCCTGCATCATCTGCTCTGGGTACCGGCTGAGGTCACTGGAGTTTAGCTTTTCCCCCCTGGGGTGAGCCCCGTGGTTGCAACGCAGATCATGCCAGTGGTGAAGTGGAAGGTCCGTTGACAATGTCGTGGACTTCACAACCACCTGGCCCAGGCGGCACTCGTCAAACTTGATGAGGGAGTGGTGGAGTGCACTCGCCCATTGAATGTAGGCCCGCGTGACCCAGATCGATGAGCACCTCGCTGCGCTCGGGCTCTTGCTGCATCGGGTCCATCGGGTGCTCCAAGAAGGAGGAACCCATCTGCGGAACCGTTAGCTGACCTAGCCCCTTGTAGGCCAGCGAGGTCAGGTACATCTGTCGGAGCATGAGCACGCTGTCATTGTCCGTGTCCTCCATAACCCGGGGCTCCAAGCCCTCCAAGCCCCACAGGGTCTGCTCTGCTCTGCCCCTCACCGGCGGTCTGCTCTGGCCCCCACCGGCGGCGGGCCACCCGGTTTGGGGAACCATCTGAGGATGCTCCACGTCCTGCAGTTGGGGCCGCCCCCCACCAAGGCGACCTTGCCCGCCATGGCCATGGAGCACATCGTAGAGTAAGGCTCCTCGCCCAGCATGTCCTGTCCAAGGTCTCCACCCTTTCGCCTGATATCCACCGCCCAAATGTACTCCGAAAAGGCCGGGTTGTAGGCATGGAGGCAGGCATCCAGGGCCCCCGCAGCATCCTTCCCCGCGTACAGCAGGATGAGGGACGGTTTTGACGACTCCGGAACCGGCCGTGGCGTCCACCTCAGTCTGAGCCTCAGTCTTTCCGGGATGTTCTGCATCCATGGGAAGGTGGGGCTTGCCCCCCCTAAGGATTCCGTGTGTCCTTTGTCTGACCCTCCCGTCATCTGTCTTTGGGCTGGCTGCTTGCCCTGGCGGTTCTTCCCGCCCTTGGAGCGCCCCTTGCCGGGCGGACCCTCACCTCGGGGGGTCTTCCCACTGCCTCGGTGGGTGCGGGGGAAAGGGATGCTTCCGCCCTTCTGGAGTGCCCTGGCTGGGACCGCTCCTCTTCCTCGGTGGAGGGGCTTCCGGGGCCGGTGGCACCCTGGAGAAGTCCCCTCCCATCTGAGGCCGTCCTGGCCTCCCCCGCTCTGTCTGCCTTTCGCTGTGGCTCTGGTGGGGTCGGCTCTCCCCCTCTGTGCGCACTCTCGCACTGGTGGCCTGTGGTCCCAACTGAGACCGGGAAGCCACGGGGCCTATGGCACCCTGAGTGGCTGACCGGGCAGTTGTGGGATCGGCCGCATGATCCCGAACACTTGTTGTGGAGGTGATGATCTCTACAGTACGCCACCCCTTTGGGATTCTTGAACGCCCAGTGGTCCGGCCATGGAACCGAGGGGGAGTTGGGGGACTTCCCCTTGCCGCCCTTGCCCTTTGGCTTGGACCGGGTCGGCCCCGAGGTCCCCCCTTCTTGGGCTTCTCCCACTGAGTCTGCCACACCTTGGGTGCCTTGCCCTTGCTCTTCCCCTTCTCCGGCGCCTGTTGAGGTGCTCATAGACCTCCCGTTGCCAGAAGAGGAAGTCGCCCCTGATATTCTTGAGGGCATCGGAGAGAGTGGTGCCCTGGTGCACCATCTCGTGGATCTTGCGCCATGCATTGCGCTCTGCAAACAGCAAGGTGGTGTCGCTCGGGGGAGGCTTCCTGCCGGCGATGTCTTCCCCATAAAACCAGGCATGCCAATCATCCAGCTCCTCCTTGGTGACCTTCAGGTTGCCAAACTGTGGCAGTGCTGCCGTGCACATCAGGAGCGTCGTCCTGAAGGTTAGGTGCAACCGTTCCAGCTGGCGCCGGGATGTGGG